CCCCCCCCCCCGGGAGACATTGTCTGAAAAAACCACTGGTTGTAAAGTATGAACGAAAATAATTTTGTTGTTGGGGGGTCGCCACAACATGAGGAAATGTATTAAAGGGTCACCGCATTAGAAAGTTTGAGAACCACTGTATTAGGGGTTCGCCTTCAAATGCCAGGGGTCGCTTGAGAATTTCAACGATTTATTATTTTTTATTAAAAAGGAAAAGGGTTTAGTTCTTTGAAAGGGGGGGGTGGGGTTGTTGTGCGGAAAACGCGCATTTTTATGTGAATTTTCACGTTAAAATATAACTATTATTTCCAGTGATTGGACTAGTGTCTTACTGTGACTACACTCCTGAGTACACGAGAGCTATACCAAATTTTAAAAAAACAAAAACAATTATGATTCATTCGGCAGATGTCATCCGCTAATTTAATATATATATTTTAGAAGTTTCGTTTCATTAATTAGGATTTTACTTTTTGCTTTATCGTTTCATTTATTTATTATTACTATTTATTTATTTTAATTTTTTCTGCCTAACCTTAAAAGTTGCGTAAATTTTTCAAAAATTGTCTTGGTATTGGCTTACAGATCCCCTTCTAAGTGTTTGACGGCTTTAAATTTGTTGCCTTCGTATCGGTACCGGGTCTATACATGCCCTTCTCACTTCTCTCCATTTGTTTGATCATATAATAATAATAATAAGACGTCTTATATAGCGCGGTACCCCAGCCTAGGGCTGGGCTCACCGCGCTGTACATAAAAATTTTATCAAAAGAGACATAATCTTGACATTAAAAAAAAAATACATTTATGAAATAAAGAACAGCAATGTATATTCACCCACACCACCACATAGCTTTTACAAGGCGAACCATGGACGGCAGCCAGCAAGATCGTTTATCGGTCAGAATCAGAGGGGAATCAGTCAGGGTAGTATAATTTAAAAAGATATGTTTTGAGTGCAGTTTTGAAGGTCTGGGTGGTTGGTATATTGCGTATGTTTAGTGGCAAAGAATTCCATTGTTTGGGGGCGCAGAAAGAGAAAGATCGTTCACCATATGTTTTAGTGTGTGTCTTGGGAACGGACAGAATACGCGTGTCTGCAGAGGAGCGAAGCTGTCGAAGGGGTGAATAGGCAAAAAGAAGTTCGGTTAGATAGGAAGGGCAGGAATATACGAGAAAATGAGAAGATAACTCTCCCTTTTAACACCCGAATCCGGATATGTTAGGCATTGTCTCAAAATAGCCGGACCCGGTTTACAAAAAAAAACTTAACCGGCTCAGCCCTTGTTACTAGCAGCCATACAGTGGATTACAATGTGCAGCCATACAGTGGATTACAATGTCCATATTACAAAAAATCCTCAAGGTCGTAAATAATTCAGTGCGATTGGTTGAAGTGATGCAGTGTGTAAACAGTTTGAGAAACACTGCTCAACAATTACAACTGATAAGGAAATGAGTAGCAGGCTTTACAAACTAAAATATGATTTCATTGACACACCGAGAATCATAACAGTGTTTATTTATTTTCTGTGTAGCAAGTTATCTCTGAGTAACAATTTATCTCTGTGCTTTTAACGAACCAGACCCTCATTGACACAAGGTCCTTGTTTTACTGACTTGGCACGATGACCTGTGGTGTGTTCTTCTTGTGCGTTCTTCTTTCAGTGGCATTACATGGAGTGTTCACACAGAGTGAGTAAGGTGCATGTTGCTGTTTGTTGAGTTAATTCTTCACATCAAACAATCTCCTGAATGTATTGTCCTTGTAAACTCAGTCGGTTGAAGAACTCCAATAAAATTGTAGCTTAAACTGCCGTAGCTTACATTGGCAGGCCTGAACATATTATTAGTAAGGGGTTCAAAATCGGTCACCAACTTTGAAAAAAAAAAAAATCTCTTCATTTTGCTATTCGACGGCACATCGCTTCCACCCTCTGGCGCCATGACATGCGGTGCAAAGACCAGGCACCACAAGGTTTATTATAGCTATATTATTCGATGCATTAAAAATCTCAAGCACAATTTATATGTGTGCGCTCCTTGTGTAGATCTGTTAACATTTCTACTATAATTGCATTGACTTTAATCAATTGCTGCTTGTTAAACAACACTATCCTTCCCCCTTTAAAACAGTTCATAACCTTGACGTAGACAACACGGGGCAGCAGCTAAGAGGTCCCGCATTTCTCCGAGAGCCCCAAGATACCTTTATTATGGGAAACGCAACTGATAAAGTCTACTTGGAGTGCTTGGCTGTAGGAGATCCGCAGCCCTCTTATCAATGGTTGAAGTTAACTAACGACAACAGAACGGTTCCTTTGTCCGTAGACCCCAGGCGAGTTCACCTACTTCTTTCATACTTTAAATCTCCTTGAGCGTCTTTATTTTATTATTTGTTTCTTATAAGTTTGTCAATGAGTCCTGAGTTCTCCTATTTTTTTTTTTTTAATTTAATTATTTCTAGCCTTATTATTTAGTTTTCTTCTAATTATTTTATTTAGTTTTTACTTTGTTAATGTTAATTTCCCCCTTTTTTTATTATTATTATTATTATTATTTTTATTTTTTTTTGCTGAAGAAGGCTTTTAGCCGACACCTTCCTTATTGCGTTAATTTAAACGTTAGTACAGCTGTCGTCGCCACATCTGTCAGACTACGAGAGGACGAGAGGGCAGCTTCTCATCTGAACCTCAGCTAACTGGTTTATGATGGCAACTCTCGAGTAACAGCCACAGTTGCCAGCAGTCTACTAACAAGGTCCGCACTTCGGACTTTCTCGTGACGTTAAAACAAATATTGAACTGAAATTTTACTCGATTAATGAAAAAAAATAATAATTTAAAAGTGGTTCGGTTAAGTATACTCAAAACTTCTCTCTTGTCCTTATCAATTTCCCAGATATTCTTTTACTACTGGTTCGTTGGAGATTCGGAATCCGGCGTTGACCGATGAGTCCACGTACTTTTGTAAAGCTACCAATGACTACGGGACAGTGATTAGCTCATCTGCTCGACTCACCTTTGGTGTGCTTGGGAATTTTTCAAACGTGCCTCCAGCACCTGTGCGTGGATTAGAATACGAAGGTGCCACACTGGACTGCCCACGTATTATTGGAAAACCAGGTAATACGAAGCTGCCACACTAGACTTCCCACGTATCATTGGAAAACCAGGTAATACGAAGCTGCCACACTAGACTTCCCACGTATCATTGGAAAACCAGGTAATACGAAGGTGCCACACTGGTCTGCCCACGTATCATTGGAAAACCAGGTAATACGAAGGTGCCACACTGGTCTGCCCACGTATCATTGGAAAACCAGGTAATACGATGGTGCCACACTGGTCTGCCCACGTATCATTGGAAAACCAGGTAATACGATGGTGCCACACTGGTCTGCCCACGTATCATTGGAAAACCAGGTAATACGATGGTGCCACACTGGTCTGCCCACGTATCATTGGAAAACCAGGTAATACGATGGTGCCACACTGGTCTGCCCACGTATCATTGGAAAACCAGGTAATACGATGGTGCCACACTGGTCTGCCCACGTATCATTGGAAAACCAGGTAATACGATGGTGCCACACTGGTCTGCCCACGTATCATTGGAAAACCAGGTAATACGATGGTGCCACACTGGTCTGCCCACGTATCATTGGAAAACCAGGTAATACGATGGTGCCACACTGGTCTGCCCACATATCATTGGAAAACCAGGTAATACGATGGTGCCACACTGGACTGCCCACGTATCATTGGAAAACCAGGTAATACGAAGGTGCCACACTGGTCTGCCCACGTATCATTGGAAAACCAGGTAATAATATTCTTTATGAGGTTGATAACTGTGATGACAAACGTATACCCTTCGATGTAGGCGTATACATAACATATTTAGAGAGACAGAGAGAGAGAGAGAGACGAAAAAAAAGGGGCCCGTCTTGGATAATTACAATTAATTTTGTTTCCTAAATTTTAAGTCCTCGGTTCTTAACATTGTTTGTTTATCTTAACCAGGCTTGCACAACATAAGGCCCGCGGGCCACATGTGGCCCGCCAGAACCCACTTTGTGGCCCGCGAGGTAACGAAAAACTCTTTATTCTTATTATTTTCTTAATAGCTGTCCCCCTGACCTATATTCTTTTGGCCCGCACAAGTCCTGTCGTATTTTCTTTTGGCCCGCACAAGTTTTTCATAATGTATTACGGCCCGCCTTACGTTTGAGTTCTGCAGGTCTGATCTAAATGGTTGAGCAGCTAGTTAATTCATCTATTTATAAACCGCGGAATTTTTTCTCCGTCAATTTCAGTTGTTTTCTATTTTTGACAATTTACGAAGAAGTTAAACTTTGATTTTGTTGGCGGTCACCCCAAACAGCAATAATAAACCTGTTCTAAGACCGGGGTATTTAAGGGCCACATCAGTGGCGTAGCTAGGGGGGTGCAGGGCGTGCGGACCGCACCGGGTGACACCATCTCAGGGGGGTGACACCAAATTGAAAATTACATATTATATTTAAAGAGCACACACTGCTCGGTCTAACCAAATTTCATAAAAGGATAACCGATCACACTTAAATTTTATACACATGTAGCCAATCCAAATGGCAGCAGGACTTAAACTACACAAAACAATTGATGCCGAAAGTATTGCTATCATAGACATCGAGAAGATAAAATTGGAGGGGTATCCTGCACAGGTTGCTGGATATCAAATTGCAAAAGCAAAATCTGGGACTTCGTGGCGACAACGGAGATAAATCTTCATTGAACAGAGGACACTTTCTTGAAATGGTTGAGATGCTATCTAAATATGACCAAGTGCTAGATAAGCACCTAATGAGACTTAAGAGGAGGACATCTGCAGTAAAACATCCGTACCTTACCTTTCACCAGAAACCCAAGATGAATTTATAAATGTCCTTGTAAATCATGTAAAAGAGATTCTTACCTTGGATATAAAGGCTGTGAGGTATTTTGGAATTATGTTCGATAGTACACTTGATATAATGCACACTGACCAGATGTCTGAAGTGATCAGATATGTGAAAATCCACAGTGAGAAAGGTGAAGTCAGTTCTGACATTCTTACAAATCTGAAGCGTGATGGACTAGACATCGAGCGCAAAGCTCAATGTTACGATTATGCTTCCACAATGCATAGAATCCATGGAGGTGTTCAGGTCATTCTGAAACTGAAAAGAAATATCCGGTAATGTGTGGGCCATTCGCTTAACTTGTGTGGTCCACACTCTTTTGCAGAAAATGCTTCGTGCATTACATTTTTCGGTACACTTGAGAGAACATTTTCCTTCTTTCCCGTATCCAATCATCGATGGAATATTTTGATTGAACGCACTGGAATGTCAATGGTCAGACCCTACAACACGTTGGAGTGCTCATGATGCTGCTTTTAAAACAGTGAAAGTTAAGTTTGAATGAATTTTGGCGGTAATTGAAGCTCTGTGTAATGCTCTTGAAAATTTGGATACAAGTGGTACAGCACAAGGTCTTTTACATGCTGTCTGTGATTTCCCGTTTATCTGCTACCTTTACCTTTGGGCTCATCTAATGGAGGAAGTTAACCTTACACAGCAATATCTGCAGACTTAAGGCTTTACTCTTGACAAAGTTGTCACCATCCTAGAGGCATTAAGATATTGCTTCTGCAGGAAAAGCGCTGTCATTTGGTTGAGCATGCTGTTGAAAGACACTTTTAAAATAAGACCAAATTGGATTTCGATAGAGAGAAGATTAAGGTTTAAGAAGAGAATGGCAAGAGAAAAATTAATAGATGATAGACTGTCTTTACAGAAAAAAGCAGTGAGATACTGGAGTATATTTATTAATTGTTTCATTCTGAACTCCAGATCAGATCATCAGCGATCAAAGAAGTAGTAGATATGTTATGGGCTGCGGGCAACCCAAGAGTCTACTAGAGTCAGCAAGGGAAGAAGAGTTATTGGTGTCCGTTCCAAAATTTATGGGCCACATATCTGGTTTGATGAAAGCTACATTCAAACAATAAAGAAAATGTATCGAGTTTTTTTTGTTTTGTTTTTTTTTTACTGTCTGTGAAGGAGCTCCGTTCTTTTCTTGTGTACAGTTCAGACGATTGCAGGTACGGATATCCGGAATCAATCATTGTCCTAGGAAATGTTCACTTTCACCTATCTGAGTAACACCGTTTCATATCCATTGGTCAAGAATCAGTTATTGTATTCGCCGCCAGCGAGATCCATCTAAAGTTATTATAAAATACACGCTCAGGATCCTGATACTCACCATCAAGTAGAACCGTGTGCTGTTAAAATGTTGTTCCTCGAATGTAATTTCGGTACACGTTAGTCGATATTTGTCAGACTTGGAAGAAATCAGCAAACAAAAGATGCCGTTGCTTTATTTTAAGCGATTGTATTTCACATCGTCAGACTAACAAATATTCACCAGATAAAACTTAGTATCTTCTAAAAGGAATATTTATTTTTAATAATTAAAAAATTATTTAAAAAATAGCACCAAAAAAACCAACAACAAAAGCTAAGTAAAAAATATTCTAAATCTAAGGATTCCTCAATCAGCATGATGTTAATTTTAACACCGGGTAGCATAGATGTATCATGTTAAACGCTAAACATAGGCTACTACTTCTCCATTTCTCTCTGCAGCCAAATCATACCAGTGGTACAAGGACGGTGACGATAACCCCATAGCACCAAAGAGCCTAAGGCGCGCGTTCGTTTCTGCCAATGGAAAACTGTATTTTTCCGAGCTTGATCCTGCCGACGAGGGCACGTACTACTGCCGTGTTACCCTCTCCGGTTTCGGCCAACCTGGTAACTATATTGGAGCTTCTCGAGTGGATAGTAGAAAGAGTCTTGGGTTGGCTTTGACAGTTGTTACCTCTGGGGATAGTCGGTATCAGCCTATTATTCAGGATGACTTCATTTATGTGTTTCCTGCGACTCCAACAAAAGGTGGGGACGTCAGGCTGGAGTGCTTTGCTTACGGCACCGGCCCCTTAAATTACACGTGGTCTCGTGAAGGTGGGCGGCCCCTTCCCATTGGCTACGCCTTGGAGAGCAATGGCCGCATCCTCCTGATTAAAAATTTAGACTTTGCAGATGGTGGCGAATACACGTTCAGTGTCTTCAGTTCATCGACAGAGCTCCTGTATTCAAAGGCAATCGATTTGGCGATCCAAGCCAAACCTTACTTCACCTACCCGCTGACTCATCAAGATGTGGACGTCGGGAGTCGTCTGACATGGCATTGTGAGGCTGCAGGTAGACCGACACCTACATATCAATGGTATAAGAATGGAGAGGTCTTGAAATCTTCACCAGGCATTACGGTAGATGTTAACACATTGACTATTACAACTGTAGATGGGAAGAGAGATAATGGGACGTATCAGTGCGCAGCATCAAACTCTTTCGGAACTACATTCACCACAGCACAGCTACGCGTATGAGATTTAATTATTTTTTTTAAACTACCAACAGTCATAAATAATAAAAGTTCTCATCAAATCGACGATGGTGTCTCTTACTTATACGACTGTTCGAACATATATAATGAGCATAGTCCTATTTTCGAAAACGTAAATAATTCCATTGTTTTAAAAACTCTTCATTCGTAAACAAATACATTGGTAAACAATAGTGTAAGTCTTAAGTACAAATAGATGAGCGATGCATCTAAAGTATATCACACTTCATTGTGTAAGAAATACTTACGTACAATATTAAAAGGAACACACATCAATCTGTCTTTCCTCGTGCACACATTTTCCGTAAATTAAAAAATAACTTTTGTTTGTCCGGCGAAGGCAGTTGGGGGGGGGGGGGTCGGTAATGGGGAATTTGAAATTTCTTATTTCCACGTAAATTAAAAAAAAACTTTTGTTTTTTCGGGGAAGGCAGTTGGGGGGGGGGGTCTGTAATGGAGAATTTGAAATTTCTTATTTCCACACAGGGTGGCTCAACAAAAATTGAGACGTTAAAATAATATTATTTCGGTTGGTGTGTCTTGAATGGGGGAAACAATTGTTTTATTTGTTGAGCGCCGGACAAAATCCGCTGCTGGTTCCCTCAGATTCCATCTAAACATCTCTCAACTTTAAATGTGGAATCAGCGGGTTCCATATAGCCCATATGTCTTACATCCAGCAGTAAAGTATGTGTTGACCAGTGGGGATACAACGCCGACTCGATCATTGGTCCACCTCGTGTGTCTATGTGGTTGGCTGGCTGCAGTGGGGAACATAGAAATCAATTTAATGAAACAAAAATCTTAACACAATTGATGGGATGGTTCATACTACATTTAGCGTTCACATTATGTACGCCGTATGTTTGGAAGTAACGCTAAGCGAGATAGAGAGAAGGAGGGAGAGAGAGAGAGAGAGAGGGAGAGACAGAAGGGGGGACAGAAGGGGTGAGACAGAGAAGCAGAGATAGAAAGAGCGAGGGAGAGAGAGAAAGAGAGATGGAGAGAGAAAGAGAGGGGGAGAGAGGAGAAAAGAGAGAGGGAGAGAGAGAGGAGAGAGAGGGAGAGAGAGGGGGAGAGAGAGGGGAGAGAGAGGGGAGAGAGAGGGGGAGAGGAGAGAGAGGGGGGGGAGAGGGAGAGAGAGGAGGGAGAGAGGGAGGGAGAGAGAGGGGAGAGAGAGGGGAGAGAGATGGGGAGAGGAGAGAGAGGGGAGGGAGAGGGAGAGAGAGGAGAGAGAGAGGGAGGGAGAGAGAGGGGAGGGAGAGGGAGAGAGAGAGGGGGAGAGGGGAGAGAGAGGGGGGAGAGGGAGATGGGTATAGCGAGGGATAGAGAGAGAGAAGGGGGAGAGAGATAGGGAGCTATAGGGAGAGAGCGAGAGAGAGGGAGAGAGAGTAGGAGAGTGGAGAGAGAGGGAGACAGTGTTGCATAGAGAGAGTACGCAGTTAAACCCCCATTAAAGTTCTTGACACAATTATAATATACGCCCCTTAGAATAATTACCTTGCGACGCGATAATAAATCAACTAAAGGAATTCAAGCATAAAGCTCACACATCTAATTAAACAACCCATTAAAACAAAGTTTATCCTTTATAAAATGTAATATCGCGCAATGGGGGGGGGGGGGGGTGCTAAAAATTTAACAAAACATGCATACAAGTAACGCACTTTATAAGAATCCATATAAGCGCCCCCCTCCCCCCCCCCCCTCAATTTCTCCTAACCACACATTTTTTCACGGCCCTGAACTATATTAGTCAAAAATTCTAATGACCCACTCACTTTTACATCGCAGACGTATTTCACCAACAATTTTAGAGAAAAAAAAGTAATTAAAATATTTCGAATCAAACGTGCCGTGATTTTTCCTTTTCTAAAATAAAAAAAAAAGTAGCTGTTTCGAATCCGTTCATTGGATTTCATTTATTAAAATAATACTGATGTTGCGAAAAGATTATTTTAATCACTTTAAAAGTGTTTAAGTTTTAAAATTTTATTGATTTATTACATAATAAATTATAATATAGATAAACAATTTAAAAACCGAATTATCTAAGAATAACTAGACGTTTTATTTTTATTGGATAATGTTACATTAAAGCACGTCTACCAAAAACGTTGTCGTAAAACAGGGGAGGCAAACCAAATAAATGGTCTTTGATACGGTGTTAACTCTTCGCGGGCCGCACGCCATTTCATTTAATAAATAAAGTAAAATTCAAATAAAGGATGCATATAATTATATGACTAATCTTAATGCACATTATTTGATGCAAAATAATACAACAAACTAAAACTTAAAATTATTTGATATCTGTTGATGTTTTACCGCACGCAACTTTTAAAATGTCAGTCTCAATGTTTTTTGTTTTCATCTAAATTTAGTTTGTAAGTTTTCATCATATTTTAAAGAACGTGCATTACTTTTTGTGAATTTCAATTTTTAAAAGATTCACAACCATAAGTTCATAACATAACTAAAATACAAGAATGGAGTGCCACTAGAACAGTGTGCGACCCTAGCCAGATGCGTCACAAGAACATGGTGCCACCAGTGCAGGGTGCCAACAGAAAATGGTGTCACCAGACATAGCAGGGTGTCAACTGACAGGTTTATTTCTTTTTGAAGTCCAAGAAAAGAAAGTTTGAAATAAAAATTTTAATTTTTTCAATACAAAGTAATTTCTCAAACGTTGTCGCCTAACAGTCTGTTTTCTTCTTATGTTGTTTACTGCTTTTGGGCTTAATTGACTGATATGCAATACCCCGATAAATGAAAAAGCTTAATCAAGGACATGGGAGAAATCAAAATAATATTTAAAAAAAAGGTCGGGTACCGCTGTCCTAGAGCCAATCATAGTTAGTGTTGTCACTAAGTGACTGCACTATGACGTCACTTTTGGGACAGAACAATCACCTTAATATGAATGGTGTATAACAGTGTAGGCAAATTTATGTCAAATTTCTTTTTGATCGCACTATTAAGTAGATCTACTAATGCTCAGTTTACACGAACAAATTTTATCAAATTTGTTTCAAATTTTGTCAAATTTCTTTTTGAACGCACTATTTTGTTTTAGATATAGATCTAATCTTTTTTTTTTTTTTTTTTTTTTTTTTTTTTTTTTTATTTTTATTTTTTTTTTTTTTTTTTTTTTTTTTTTTTTTTGTTAAGACATTCGGATCATTATATTGAATGGACTAAAAGTTGTAACTTAATTATTATTTATGTAACTGATCAAATTAAAATTCCCCTTGATATTACAGTGATATTATTTTAATTTAAGCGCTCCACCAGAATCAACATTTAATTTAAATTCATCCATGAATTTTAGCCATTGGTATCGCGCCAACTGTGACTAGTATACTTATGCAAACCTAGTACTAGTAATATAGGCCTAATATGTGTACTGATATAATATGTGTACGGTTGAGGGAATGTGATGCCCGGGGCCTAATTGCTCGGCTGACGGGTGAATTCATCTGATTGTACAGATAGTGTCAATAGTGTGTGTGTGTGTGTTTCCTCATTCTGACACAGCCAAAGTTAAAGTAGTAGAGAATTTTCAAAGTCTAAATTCTAAATTGCAGCGCTTCAAATGTTCTCGAAATTTTAACTTGGATAGGTAATAGGCCTATATTGAAGAGGCTTAATAGTCTCAAATGGTTAAGCGATTTTTTAAAGGAATTGTTTATTGTTCAGGTATTAAGTTACAGATAGTTATGTCCCCTGCTAAAAAAAACAACCAGAAAAACAGTGCTATTACCTGAATCGTAACATACGCCATTTTAAAGCGGAAGTGAAGAGTGAACCCAGGTACATGTACTAGAGGTACAGGTAGAAATGGCTTTTAGAGACAGGCCATTGTAAGCGGTGCAGGGGCCATACCCTTTTTACGTGTGAAATATATGGTATTAAAATGGAATAAGCAACGGTTCCATCACTTAGTAAATAAATACCAGTACGCAGTATATAATTTTGTGCACAAATATTTTGAAGAACTGTTATAGTTATTGAATTGACTAAGTAAAGAAAGAGTAAGAAGACTCAAAAGAGGTAAGAGTCCGGAAGTGTTTACAGAAATTTGAATTTTAAGTTAACTATAAATTAACTCAAACTTGCTATGTTGATCATAATCATGGTTATAGAAAACTATTAACAATTTCACGTACAAAACTTAAAAAAACCAGACCTAATTATTATATACTTATGAGTAATACTAATACATACTTATATAAACGTATTATTTGTAATAAGTAGTAATTACTAGGGTTAGCCAGGCTAGTCAGTATTAAAAATTAAAACTATTATTACAATTATTAGTATTTAAAAGTATTTAATATTTAGACTAGACACTAGTAGTTAGTAGTACTAGTCCTCCTAGGTCTTATGGATTTTGTACCAAACTGTCCAAGGCACACTAACTAATCACTATATAATATTGTTAGGCAATCTTATGCCTATTTTTTAAGGCCATGCCTATTTAATGCAGGCTATTACTATTAATATTCTATTATTAATACAAATTAGTGTGATTGATGAATGAGGCAATTGTAAATACATAACATAGTCAAAGTGTAACCTACTAACTAAGACTAATCTAATGTACAGAGAAGGAAGTAATCTACCATTTTAGTGAAATCAGTGTCAATTATTAAAGCATTGTGTTGTTTTGGGTCTGATGTAAATACTAAATATGTAAAAAAATGTTGGCTACTATACTACCAGAAATACCAGACAGTGGAGAGAAGGCCACCGGTTTTTTTTTTGCTGGCATTTAAAATGTACGAAAACTCTTTTGTGGCCGATAAACAATACTCGGTTGGTCCCAATGATGCAGTTACCGGTGTCCACATGCAGAATGTAGAAATTATGTGGATGTGTGCAAACTTAAAAGACAGTTTGGCACCAGCTGTGCTCCTATCACTTCTTATTACCTGTTTGCTTACATAAATTCTTTTCATATATTTGATTGTTAAAATTTTTCTATTTTAAAAGTTTTGTCTTGGAATATTATACATGTGCTGAAATTAATTTGTACAATGTCATTTAAAAAAAGATTCCCCTTTATTTGGATCAATAAAACCAAAAAACAAAAGAATAACGGTAAAATAGCACTTCAAATCCAAAAACATGATTTTTGAAAAGCCAGTGTTGAAGTGGTAGATTACTCATAAGGAATTAAATCGGTGGGCCAAGCTATAATGAACACAACAAATATCCCAATAGCTCTGCTATGGACCCACCAAATATCCCAATTCACAACCCACACTCCCCCACTTAATTTCACTCCCCCGTTAATGTTCAGGGAGTGGGGAGGGAGGACAGCAAAGCAGCAACTCCGTAATGACTCCATTAATTGTGGACACCTGGCTGCCCTGAAATGCCAAAGATAGCTTCACATTAAGGAGTGGATGCCATGCTGAAATGGTCACTAATTCTGGTTCCCATGACTGCAACTAGTTCACCAACCCAGGAGCAAGTAGTAACCCTGTTTGTTGGTGGTTGGTCAACCCAGATGGGGTAAGCCTGCGATAAATAAAGGGCCCATAAATATATATATATATATATATATATATATAAATACATATATATATATAGTCAAAGAAACACTGACTGCGGATAAGCAGAAGATGATATTTCATAAACCAGTGTCTGCACTCCTTGATCTAGGCCTTACGTCTTATGAATAAATTATATCAAGAAATGGCATTGGTGCCCCAAGTCTTTAGTGTTACCAAAAATTTTTTGTACAATGATTCGGTGCACAGCTTTCTTTCCAATTTATTCCAAGAAAAATATACTGAATTAAAAGAAATACAATTTTCAAAATACCACCCCATAATTTGATTTTTTACCCACGTTCTCATGGACAAAAATGTAATGAAATTAAAATGTTAATGCATCATTTAATTTTGCTATTCTTTCAGATCATAATCACCATCTCCTTGTAGTGGCATCACGAGATGGAATCTAATTTTAAAAGTTGTGTTCTTTGGGTTTTGCTTTTAATGAATTTCGTTGATGGCCAAGTAACAACACAAAGTAAGCATATAGTGTGTGTTTTAACAGTTACAGAGGATTTATAAAGAGGTTCTTAAGTTATGCCTATTTAAATTACGCCAACAATAGCTCTTCTGACATTATTTAGTTTAATTGGCAATTTTAGGGAAAAGTAAAATTATGGGAGATTCATGCCACACAAAGTTAGACCCCATCAGTGCCACACAAAGTTTAATCCCATCAGTGCCACACAAAGTTTGATCCCATCAGTGCCACACAAAGTTTGATCCCACACAAAGTTTGATCACATCAGTACCACACAAAGTTTAATTCTGTCAGTGCCACAAAAGTTTGATCCATCAGTGCCACACAAAGAGATCCCATCAGTGCCACACAAAGTAAGCCCCATCAGTGCCACACAAAGTTAGGCCCCATCAGTGCCACACAAAGTTAGTCCCATCAGTGCCATACAAAGTTAGATCCCACACAAAGTTTGATCACATCATCACCACACAAAGACATCCCATCAGTGCCACACAAAGTAAGCCCCATCAGTGCCACACAAAGTTAGGCCCCATCAGTGCCACACAAAATTAGGCCCATCAGTGCCATACAAAGTTTGATCCCACACAAAGTTTGATCACATCATTACCACACAAAGAGATCCCATCAGTGCCACACAAAGTAAGCCCCATCAGTGCCAAACAAAGTTTGATCCCATCAGTGCCACACAAAGAGATCCCATCAGTGCCACACAAAGTTTGATCCCATCAGTGCCACATAAAGAGATCCTATCAGTGCCACACAGAGTTTGATCCCAGCAGTGCCACACAAAGAGATCCCATCAGTACCGCCCAAAGTTAAATCCTATCAGTGCCTCACAAAGTTAGATCCCATCAGTGCCACACAAAGTTAGGCCCCATCAGTGCCACACAAAGTTAGGCCCCATCAGTGCCACACAAAGTTAGGCCCCATCAGTGCCACACAAAGTTATGCCCCATCATTGCCGCACAAAGTTAGGCACCGTGTCTTGGAGCAGATCCAAAATCTGTAAACATTTTCATGTATTTATAATATGAGAATAATTAAGTCATGCTTGTTTTAAAATTTTGCCTATGTTGGCTTTTTTTTTACTCAAGCACATTTTGATTTAATAATTATAGATAATTTTGTGGCAATTCATGGCTGTGAGGTCCTGTATCTTATGCCAGATTTTTTTTAAAAATGGAATTTTTTACAACACTGCCATTCATATGACCTGATAAAGGTAACAGGAACCATGTTATTCCCATCTGCTATTTGAAAAGCATGGCTTTACTTTGTGAAGAAAAACTGACAGGGTTTTGGGGACAATAATTTGTTAATATGCTTGCATTTTTAACTTCAATATTAATATGAGGATTAGGCGTATGTGATAAGAAATCCTGTATTTTTAAAAAGATTTATTATACTTTTCTAGATTGTCGGAATAAACTATTTGTGTTCTCATCATATAATTAATCATGTTTGGATTTATGCAACAAAATGCCATGTCAGATCACTTAGTAAAAGTGAATACATTTATTTGTCTTAATGATAGCACAGGCCTCGACAGCATTAAGGGAAAGATACATCATCTGTGTTTGCTTGTGTCTTTGGTCTGTACATCTTCTGTTTTTGCTTGTCTTTGGTCTGTACATCTTCTGTGTTTGCTTTTCTTTGGTCTGTACATCTTCTGTTTTTGCTTGTCTTTGGTCTGTACATCTTCTGTTTTTGCTTGTCTTTGGTCTGTACATCTTCTGTTTTTGCATGTCTTTGGTCTGTACATCTTCTGTTTTTGCTTGTCTTTGGTCTGTACATCTTCTGATTTTGCTTGTCTTTGGTCTGTACATCTTCTGTGTTTGCTTGTCTTTGGTCTGTACATCTTCTGTTTTTCTTGTCTTTGGTCTGTACATCTTCTGTTTTTGCTTGTGTCTTTGGTCTGTATATCTTCTGTTTTTGCTTTGGTCTGTATATGTACAATAATCTGTTCCCCCAGTTTGAAATTTTGTTTGCTGATTTTTATTGGATTAAGAGAGATGTGCAGTTGTCTTTCTGCAATATATTCATTACATTTAATTCATATCAAGCAGGCATACTTAGTAAAAAAATCTTAAAGACCATTCTATAGTATATTTTTTCCAAAAAAAAAGTTCACTTACATTTTTTTGTTACAGCTTGTCCCTCAGACATTGGTTGGCTTATGTTTAGTGCTAAATGTTACAAGTTTGTAGCATTTCCCCGTTTGGACCAGCCTGGTGCTAGTGCAGCCTGTCAAGAAAACGGTGCTACCCTCTTGAGTGTCAACACACCGGAAGAGCATCAGTTTGTTGCTAACTGGCTTCTGACAAATGATCAGAGACGGTAATATTTTTTCTTCTCTGTCAAATTTTTGGTTTGTGCCATATGTACAAAAAATTCAACTCGTTCAATTACGTTCAATTATAATTCAATAATCAGACTCACTCCACGTTGTCAACAGGGATATTTGGCTCACAAGTGGAATAACAGTAAACTCAGGCATCAGGTGGCAAGGGGATGGCAGTATAGGTGGTTCCTTAGATAAGTGGATGCCCAACACTGCAACTGTACGCAAAGATGATGGTTTGAGAGTAGTCTACAATTACACTGGTAATGATGCATGATGGTATTAGTCTGGATTTAAATCTATAAACAAAATCTGAAGACTTCTTTTGAAATATGTGATCTTCATTATTATAATTAGCACTGCCAATGAATTATTTCCTGTGGTAAATGTACAGATCTTGCATAGATTTGTCATTAATAAATGTTTGAAACAAAATAAATAGTGTACTGAAAGAAAAGATTTTAAAGAGCAAATATTTTACTTCAAAACAATTAAATTAATATTTGATTAATTTTTTAAAAAAAGAAAGGACAATGATTGTTTAAGAATGTAATTGCATATTTTGAATGTTCCCAGGTGTTGAATACCTTTGGAATGTTGGCAAGGATGGTGAACCATATTCTTTTGTCTGTGAAATAAGTTTAGACGAGGTTTACAGGATTGTTCAACAACAAAGAGATTTTGGTATTTAAACTTTTATATCTTATTTTCAGGATCAAAATTTAGGGTTCAATTTCTTGTATTTGCTTTCAGTTAATGGTGTTTATTTTTTTCACTGGGCAGACTTTTCTATATTTAGATGAAAATCTAGTTGGATGTCAAATATTACGTTCTACTAAAATAACCTTTGGTACAGTTTCATGATTCTCTTTTCAATCCTACAGATTATGGTTTGAATGTTGACAACCCCACACAGGCACCCAGAGGCCCCACTTTTCTCCAAGAACCCCAAGATACTATTGTTTTAGGATCAACTACTACAGTCTATTTCCAGTGCTTAGCTCAGGCTAATCCACAAGCCTCTTATGATTGGTTGAAGTTAACTAATGACAACAGAATGATTCCATTGGGAGTATCCACTAGGTATTTGCATTCCACTAATATTTTTTTTTTAATTAAAAAAATTGTATCCTTATTTTTTTTTTTTACTTTCTTGATATTTACCCACTTAATATAAGTTGGAAAAGAACTGGGTACAATCTTTATTCAAGGACTGGATAAGAGCTATGGTTTTGTAATCATCCTTTTTGACTGATGCGTTAGCTTTTTTTATTATAAATTAGCCAATCAGCCCACAAAACAATTGTTTATATACCTAGCTAGTTTAAAAAGAATATTGATTTTTATGGGATTTAAAAAAATTCATTTGTATTCACCAAATTATGACTTGAGAAATGTTCAATACAACTATTGAATGGTAGAATGGCCATACTCATGCCTGTGCTTTCAATTTCACAGATATTCATTTACTACTGGTTTACTAGAGATTCGGAATCCAGGGATGGATGATGAGTCCACATACATGTGTAAAGCTAACAATGACTACGGAACAGTTATAAGCTCATCTGCTCGACTCACTTTTGGTGAACTTGGCGATTTTTCAAATGTGAATCCAGCACCTGTGAATGGGAAAGAATATGACGGTGCCAATCTAGAGTGTCCATATATCAATGGAAAACCATGTAAGATTTTTTTTAATTTCATAGTTTTTGTAGTAATCTTTATATTTAAATACCCTTTTCATTAATAAATTGTGAAACTTGGATATATAGAAATGCCAATTTTTATTTTATGCTCCAGCTCTGCGTCAAATATTTATTAGAGACGTTAATAATATGGTCCAGTTTATGGTATAAGATGGAATAGTAAGGGTAGGTGTAGGATGTAATGCAAGTGTCATCAAACTTTTTAGACCGTGGGGCCAGTTAACCATCACTCAAACACTGTTGGGAGCCGAACTGTAGTTTGAAAAAAAATATGAATGAATTCCTATGCACATCCAACTTGAAGTGCTAAAAACAGGAAAAATTAATACAATTTTTAAAATGAGGAACATAATCTTCGTAGTAGTAAGTACTTCAATGCTAAAGATATGGTCAATGTTTGGTTTTATATTCGTCATTTCTAGTTGTAACAAGTGATGCATCATGTTTTATGCTGATCTGACTTTAAGTTTGAACCATGTTGAATTTCACCAGTAACTTGATCAGTGACAGACTGTGATGATGTGGTGCCCACTAAATAAAACTTAATATTTGTAGCAAATACATGTCTGTAAAACAAAGTGACTCCAGATTGCAATATAAGCGTCGGTAATCAAATATTAGAAGTTAACTTTTTTTTTACGCCAGCTTAACTCGATCCCACTAGGCAATGCAATTCCAGTAGTTGTTTTATTCAATATATATACTGTATGTTTATTTATTTACTATTAGATACTGTATTGTTCTTTTTTGAGAACATATTTTATGATTTCAGAAAGTTCGAGGGTAAACACTTCTGGAAATTAGTAAGGTTACTAAGACTTGAATATGTCTGTTAGAGCCACATTTCTTTTGTTCTGCCAGTTCCATTTGTTAAATTGGATAAAAAAAATGTCAATGTCAACAGAAAATGTGTGTTGGAAAAGCTACGAGTCCTATTCATGGAGATGAATCTTTATTTTATTAATTTGAGACTCCTATTGCAACCTATCTGGTTGAGAAAACAATTTTTTTTCTTCTGGTTTCTCCATCATCACGTTTTGAGTTTTGTGGAGAGATGGCAAAAGTTTTCCTCCTTTAACTTCTTTCTAAGGAGATTTAACTTTATTTGAAAGGCTTTTACATGTGAATGCATATCGCTGATGAGCATTCCCTTTCCTTAAAGTTGCACGTTGAAATTGTTGAGCAGCTCTGTTACATCTAGAAAGGTTAGGTGCCATTTCTATTCTGTATCTTGAGCTCTGTTTTTTTTCAAAAGCAGATTAATTAGACACAAACAATTTGTGTCAATAAAACAATATATGTTCAGCTTTAATAATAATATTACATAATACACAAGTAAACATTTCGGCAAATGCCTTCATCAGTATAACAACAAAACATAAAATAAGTATAAATTGTCTGTGTCTCATTAATCTCTTTTAAAGCTTTATCGCAGTCCAACACTCTTATAATTAGTTAATTTTTCAAAAGCAAAAAGGCTGAAACCTGTTTAAGTCATAACAACATGTTGAAACTTGACCTCGGCTGACCCATCAGTGTGCTACCGAATATCTATATAGGCAACATTTAGATCAGACAGATATTCCAGAAACTGTCTTATATTGTATATGCACAACTTGTCGTGTATTGCAGATTGAATCACTTTTATTGGCATTTTCACAGGTACTTGTTCACAACTTAAAAACACGGGTACTATTACAGCTGCCTTAGATTGGGGACCCATGATATAATGGGACATTGGATTGGTTGGGGAAAGATTGAAGTTGGATTGGTTTACATGCTTTTAAATCTATTGCACTGACTAGTAAATTGACAGGTTTCAAATGTAACTGCTTTGCCACATTGCCCGTTATTGATTATTGGGACACAAATTATGCATTTTTAAAATTAATTTTACTTTGAAATTCCTATTTTAATTACAAATGTAGGTTATTTATTATATTATATTAGTTATAATACACACAGTTAAAGTGCCACCATTTGGATTTGATAGAAGTAAGAGTAATTATTATATAAGCCCCTTTTATTCAGTATTCATCAATGTAAATTTATTTTCTTTTACGGCACCTAATAATGACTTCATAGAAGTCACCACCACAATTAATCTCTTCACAGCCACTTGTATTTGTAAGAGTTTTTTTTTTATGTTATTAAGTTTATGAATATTTACTTCTTATTTTAATGAGCATTTTTTTTTTTTTTTTAAATTCAGAACTTTAATCTTCATTTGTTATCAATTTGTTCTTCTTTTTCCCCACAGCCAAAACTTACCAGTGGTACAAAAACAATTTTTTAAGTTTTATATTGTATTTGTAAGAGTTTTTTTTTTATGTTATTAAGTTTATGAATATTTACTTCTTATTTTAATTAGTTTTTTTTTTTTTTTTTAAATTCAGAACTTTAATCTTCATTTGTTATCAAATTGTTCTTCTTTTTCCCCACAGCCAAAACTTACCAGTGGTACAAAAACAATTTTTTAAGTTTTATCAGGCCAGATTTCCAAACACACACTTTCATTTCTGCCAATGGGAAACTTTATTTTTCTGAGCTTGCTCCTTCTGATCAGGGAACGTACTACTGTCTTGTTACACTGTCAAATTTTGGTCAGAGTGGTAACTATATTGGAGCATCACAAACAGAGAGTAGAACAAGTCTTGGATTTAATTTGAATGTGCAATCTGCGGGGGCAAGTCGGTTTCAACCTATTATTCAGAATGAATTTATATTTGTTTTTCCTGCAACTCCGACAAAAGGGGGGAATGTCAGGCTGGAATGCTTTGCTTATGGCACTGGGCCTTTAAAGTACACATGGTCTCGTGAAGGTGGGCGGCCCCTTCCAAATGGCTATGCCTTGGAGAGCAGTGACCGTATTCTGCTGCTTAAAAATGTAGAATTAGCAGACGGTGGCAAATACACATGCAAAGTGTTTAGTTCTGCAACAAACCTCCAGGATACCAGGACAATGGATTTGAAGATCCAAGCCAAACCTTACTTCACCTACCCGCTTACTCATCAACATGTGGATGTTGGGAGTCGTCTGACATGGCATTGTGAGGCTGCAGGTAGACCGACACCTACATATCAATGGTATAAGAATGGAGAGGTCTTGAAATCTTCACCAGGCATTACTGTAGATGTTAACACATTGACTATTACGACTGTAGATGGGAAGAGAGATAATGGGATGTATCAGTGCGCAGCATCAAACTCTTATGGAACTACATTCAGTACAGCACAGCTACGCGTTTTAGGTAAAGAATATTTTTTTTTTTAAAAATATATGCTGAATCAGCTTTAAAAATAGTGTTGTAGAAAAAGCATTTTTAAAATTTTTATTAAATGAATTCATAACTTGAAAAGTAATTTATGTTAAAAGTTTTAAATAAAATATGACTTCAAATCAATGCGGATGAAAATGTGCATGTTTCAAACATATTTTACTTTCTACTTAGTATCAAATTAAAATTTTGCATTGTTTCTATTTTAACGTTTGCCTTAAAATATTTTAATAATATAAATTAGGTGCTAGATCAACTCGGTCATGATAAAACTTTCAAAACATTATATTTGTTGCTTTACTATAGAGATATTCAAGATTGCTAACTAAATTGGTCCCCTTTTTCATGCAGAGATTAAACCATCTTTTGATAAAACGCCTATGATGAAAACACAGTCTGGGGCTGTCGGTGGAAATGTGACAATTATTTGTGATCCTGTGGCGGCACCCATGCCTACATATATTTGGTTGAAAGATGGGAGCAATTTAAATCTCCAGCCAGGTGTTTCTAGTGAAGGTGACCATTATCGTATGTTGCTTAATGGCAACTTGCTCATTCAGGGTCTACAAACTAGTGATCAGGGGAAATATACCTGTCAGGTGGAAAATAAAGTTGGAAAAGCTGAAGATTATACCAATCTTAGGATTTTAGGTATGGAATTGTTAACAGATTAATCTTATCAAATTACAATTAACAGTTCTGTTGCTATTAAATTCATTTTCTTTAAAAATTATTTGAGAAGTTGAACAATTTCACCCATGAATATTTTAAACAAATTCTTCAGAGCGTACAGTTTTATCTCAAAGTCCAAGTGATCAGAGAGTGGAAGTCAACCTTACAGCAACATTATTGTGTCAAGCTTCATACTCTCTTCAAACTGATATGGTTTATGTTTGGAAGTTCAATGACCACATCATTGATTATATTATTGAGCCTGAGTATCGCCAGGTAGAAATCTTTATACAATAGTTATAATTTTTTTTAAATGCTGGTGTGACAAGTCCTATTAAATCATATTTTTATTCTGGGTTCAGTTAAATAAAATAGGTCTGGGTTATTTTATTTCAAATATGTTGCTTTTTGCTAAGCATCAAGATGAACAATCACAATAAAAAAATATTGGCTTGGAAGAATTAAGTTAGTCACACTTTCATCCATGCAGAAGAAGCCTTCTATGGTGATACATTAGGCGAAACAGTTAACTTTTTGAATAGTAAAATTTGTTAGACTTAAACAAGTTATAAAATAATAAATTTCCTATTTCTAATATAACAAACTTTTAGGGTGAAGGAAATCAAAGGGGGTCACTGTACATTATTGCCACCCAATACAAGAACGAAGGAAAGTACACATGCATACCTACTACTGGAATGGATCAACTGTCTGCTTCAGCTTATGTCACTGTCATGGGTAAGTGTGTTCTTATGCATTGGCTCTTAACCTATTTTGTAGTGTGTGCGTTTGTGTGGGAGACCAACGTGCCTTTAGTTTTTTGAAACAAGAAAAAAAAAACTGCTCTTTTATATCTGTTACCGGCAAAGTGTGAAATCCGGCATTATATAGAATGCCTAGGTGTTATATAGAATGCCTGAAAATTGTTGGCAAAAAATGAAATGGTTCATATTACACACATTTCCTAGGCCTTCTATATAATGCCTAAGAGCGACCCGGCAATGTTTAGAATACTCCGCCATTAATGTTTGATTCTTTGCTTGGTGGTGGCGTGGCGATTGCGACACACTTGCTTCGTACTCCCGCCAAAGACGCTACACCTATTGTTTCAAGATTGCTGCCGAGATGTTGTAAGATCAGATTGTAGCTTTAGATCAGGAATCACGGTATGTTTACATGCAACGGCGGTTCTACAATGGACTTTCTCATTTACGAGCCAATACTGCTAAAAACTGCGTTTCTCTAACGGAAACTAGTTACCAAAAATTGGTGGATGATGTTAAAATGGCTTGGATGGCAACTCCAAGAAGAAACCACGAGACTATTTGCTGCTGAAATGCGATGATGTAATGGCGGTAGAGAACAAAAGTAAGTTGATCTATCCTGTTAAAGAAGGCGACAGTGCTATTCAGTTCTATGTCACGGATTCTGAATTATTTGACGTACTTGGAGAGGCTCATTTGGCCGTGGGACATGGAGGAAGGGACAGAATGTTGAAAGAACTTTGACACAAGTATAAGACCATTACACGTAATGATATTGAACTTTACCTCCACCTTTGTGAGTCGTGCCAGAAGAAGCAAAAAGGTGTCAAAAAGGGTGTTGTGGTGAAGCCTATGATTTCTTCTGAATTCAACTCCCGAGGTCAGGTCGATCTTATCGATTTTCAGTCCCATCCTGACAGGGAATATAAATTTATAATGGTGTACCAAGATCATTTCACAAAGTTTGTGGTTCTGAGGGCTTTAACATCAAAGAGGGCGGAAGAGGTAGCCTACACACTAGTGGAAATATTTACATTGCTTGGAGCTCCATCAATTCTACAGTCCGATAATGGCAGAGAATTTACCAACAATGTGGTGAACAGCCTAAAAGAGAACTGGCCCAAGTTGAAGATCATCCATAGTAAACCGTGCCACTCACAAAGCCAGGGCAGTGTCGAAAGAGCTAATCAAGACATCGAAAACATGCTATGTGCTTGGATGCAAGATGAAAAAACTGACCACTGGGCTGAGGGATTACGATTCATCCAACTTATGAAGAACAGGGCCTTTCATTCTGGGATTAAGAGAACGCCTTATGAAGCCCTGTTTGGCTGCAAAGCTAAAGTGGGCCTTGCAACTTCTTCCATACCCCCTGACGTTTTGACATACAGACTGAGGAAGAACTCGAAAAAATAATAATAATAATAAAGTTTATTTGAAAAACACGCTTCATCCCCAAAAGCTAGAAGCGTGGTACAAAGTCAACCATATTAAAAAGAGAAATAAAAACAATCTAAAATTCACCACATTTAAAAACAGACACAACAATATAAAACTACTTACGAGCATACCAAGTCAAAATAATAGAAAGCGTAAAACAACACAGCAGGAAGATGCAAGATACAGAGCCTACTATACAGAATACTGAAGAGAATGTTGATTGTGACGTCATGGTTACCGAATAGCCTTCCACTTTTGGTGTTTGTTGTGTCTGCTTAAAAGAAAGCAGCGTTGCCCATGCATGCCGAAACTGTCACCGTAATGTTCATGTGATCTGTGGGCAAGCTGCTAAAGACGATGGAGATGAGGAAATAGAAGGTTATGGTGTTGGTATTTTGTGCAGCTTGTGTTTCAAGATAAAGAGAGCTATAGAGGCAAGAAAAGAATCTAAATCGAATCTTGAAATCCAGGCCAAAAAAAAAATGAAAATAAACTCTGACAAAAAATTCCCGCCACTGCGCGAGTTCCTATTCATGGCGTTGACAAGGGACGGGGTGACTCGCGCAATCTGTTGGCAGTTGTTATGGCAGAGACAGAAGATGGCTTTTACCGACTTGGAATTGCACAAGGTTCGAGATCACAGTTCGCTGTATGTCCAAAAGATTTATTGAGAGTTGAAGACGTCACTGCCCATGAAATACCTCTCCAAACTGATGCTATCTCTCAGTCAACAGGAAGCGGTCAAGGATACATGAGGTGTATGTGCAAGACCAGGTGCCAAAACATGAAGTGTCTTTGTTTGAAAAAGAAAATTGCAATTCAAAATGCCACTCCAGCCTTACTTGCTTAAATAGAAGCTCGATGCCACCTTTGCTTTTCGGTTTCATTGTTATCTTTTGTATTCTAATACATTTTTCCGATAAAAACATTTTCTTTACGCTCTTTTGAAACTTTGCCTGAAGTATATTTGTCATTATATATAATACCTAGGCAATGTATAAAATGCCTAGGCAAAGTATGTAAATTAATCACGAAAATAAAATATTTCATACTTTGTCTAAAACTGCCTGGCATTCTATACAATGTCTGAATTTCACACATTGCCGGTAACATACATCAAGTCCTTTTTTTTTCTCAATGGACCATGAAAATAAAAATTGTCATTAGATTATTACATTTCTAATGTCAGATCCTCTAGAAAAAAAAATAGAAAAAAGTGTTTATTACATTTTTTAAATATCTTTTATGATTGTTAATTTTCTCAGGACCACCTGGTGAACCAGCGGGTGTATATGTTCAGACAAGATCCCTTCCCAATACGAATGATGCTGCTACAGAAAATATCAACCCTGATACCACACGATACATTGTCTGGACTGATGGAGAAGACCATGGAAGTATAATTACAGATTACTTTGTTGAATTTCGAACTAGCTATGACTCAAAATGGAGAATACATCCTGATGGAAACAGTAAGTTATTTTGGTTTAATTTTATATAAATACATAAGCAAAAATGACTATTTGTTGAGAAAATATTGACTTCCTTAAAACCAACACCTTGCATCCACATGGAAAAGTATGTTCTATTCAGAGATGAAATGTTTGAAATGCTATATTTGATATTTTATTTTTGAATGCTTGTATATCAAGACTAAGTTTGAGAAATTTGATCTTCAAAACTCATAAAATTAAACTGTTTTACCAAAAATAGTGAATAAAATTGTTGATTTTATTATAAATATAATTATAAATAATCAGTCTCAAAGTTATGAACTACTGTAAATAAGCTTAAATATTAAACAGGAGAAAGTTGAGATTTAGAAAAATTAGCTCATTATAATTAACCTATTTATTTCAGATATTCCAAAATTCAGTACCATAAATGAGCAGTATCCTGATAAAAGATTTGTTCGCTTGACAAACCTCAAAGCTGGTGCTGGAATACAATTTAGGGTCATGGCCAGAAACAGTTTTGGAATTGGAGTTCCCAGTCTTCCTACAGGTTAGGGAAATTTAACTTGGTATAGTCACAAGAGAGATCTATAGTCTTACCTTTATGAACAATGAGCAAATGGAGGAAGTAGAAAATTCCTTTAAAAAAATATATATAATTATTTAATAGATTATATGCTGAATTCATTAATAAGACTGTAAAGCATGTTCTTAAGGTACAGTTTTTAGGATTATTTTTACCTTTATAATTTTAAATAAATAATATTTTATTTATCCCTTGTTCCAGGAATGACTCAAATTGTTGATGCCAAACCAACACAGACTGTTACAAATGTTCGTGGCGGTGGTGGTAGTGTTGGAGATCTGACTATTGTTTGGGATGTAAGTTTTAAAAATCTCTTTGGGGGGGGGGGGGGGGTTGTGCCGTCTTATGGCAAGGACCCGCTGGGCACTGGCCCAGGGCCTCACATTCTAGGAGACTCACTCTTTTAGAGGAATCATGCTTTACATATTGTTAATGAATGTAGGATCTAGACAATTTAATTTGATTAAGTCACAGGACAGCACATTTCCCCATTTTAACCCACGGTATTATAGGTACATTCCAAAATTAATATTAATGTGAATCACAAATTGGATTCTTTTTAAACTTTAAGGAGAATAACTCTCGTCAACGAGTTGTACTTCTTCCAGATATCAATCAAAAGTTAAAATATAGTAAGCATTTGTGTTTACCCCACTGCTCAGTACTCAGTAGTGAAATTAGTTGAGAAAAGCAGTGCCCTCTTAAGGCATGGGCTCACTGCGCACTTGCTCTGGTCTCGCGTCTTTTGGCAGGCCTCATGCTCGACAGGGCCTCATGCTCGACAGGGCCTCATGCCTCTAGGAAACCTCACGCTTCTAAGGGCAATATGCTGCCACTATTTTTAGTGAATATTGGAATATTTGTGGCAATTTCTTTTGCTTTCAAATTGAAAGTGGCAAGACCGTTGTAGCAGTTTATTTAAACAAGTTTTTCGATTCTCACATCAAATTAATTTTTTGGTACTAGCTTCAGAAATTTTTTGGGGATAATTTGAAAAAAATCCATTAATTATTTTCTTGGTGGGGATTTGCGGGAGTGATTAATCAAAAGATTTACAAAAGACACCAAACTTCATTCTTTAGTAAAAGTAAATGAAGAAAGTTATAGTAGTTACAAATTTGAAATAAAATTTTTAAGTTACTGTAGATAAATAATATTTATTAATATATTAAATATGAATGTGAAATCTTTGGTAAATTTTAATATCTCCTTATTTTTTTATACCATTTAGATCCAATTTATTTTTAAAAATTACCTGTTTTATATAGCCATACAAAATCTATAGACCTTTTACTTTTATACACTATAGTATTCTTTCTCATTTTTTTATAACTGTATATTTTGGGAAATCCTAATTAAGTTTTTAATTAAATCTAAAATGATAATTATCATTCAAACATACTAATAGATTGTTTGTCATTTTTTTAAATTAGCCATAAATTTGTTTGAACGAAATTTTTAAATTTTATTTATTTGTGTTCCTTCGTAGCTGAATTTTTTTAAACAAATAAATTGTTTAAAAATAAAATTCTGAAACAACATAATATTTAGATACAACTAGAAATAAAAGGAATTGTGTTATCCATGCATGGTCAAGGGAACTTAAATTTCAACTAGCATCTTTTCTGTTGCTATCCGGTTTAAGTGTAGAATGATGCAAATTCATTTTATGCACCTAAATGCATCGGATCATTTTTACGTTATCAAAGATTTTATTGGGATGGGCTTACTGATACCTCTCTCCAAACTTTACCCCCGATTTCGTTCGGCCCCCTCAGTCTCTTCTCCCTCCAAAATTAAATAAGTTTTAATAAATTAACTTGTCGACTATTAATATTTCACACAGCCTCTTCCTGTAGAAGATCATAATGGACCTAATTTAAGGTACAGGGTTTCATGGAGAACACTAGAAGCAGGTGCTCAAGCAGATTCTTCCAAATGGAGAAGTGTAAGTTTTTCTTACTTTTTTCGTGGTGTATATTTAAAAATGTTTAAGCATCCTTATTATATGAGTATGTAAAGTGGCTAAAAAGTTGTGAAATTATTTAAACCAGAACAAAGCATTCTTAACTTCAGCTTAATAAACGTCATTCTCACATTTAAATCAATATAAATTTTTTTTTTACTCCTTTACAAATTATAATATAATTGTTCCTCACGTCACATTTTTCAAAAAAAGATTCTTTAAAATTAAATTCTTCAATTAGTGATTTCATCAGCAATATTTTTTTTTATATTATATTATCATTTGCAAATAGGTATAAAGGTTCACGACAGCACAGGCTTTACTATTGATGGCCTCACATGTCATAATTAACCCATTCATGTCCACATTAATTTCTAATGAAAATATATCAAGATCTTTATTGAGCTCAAAATATGTCCACAGGTCATTTTTTTAAAATTCAAGTGTTTGGGGAAAAAAATACAGAGCGTCCTATTGTCGGACAGTGGGGACATAAATGTCATATTATTTTTTGCACATCTTCATTCTTGCAGCATTTGGTGCATCTAATTTGCTTTAGGTTGGCAATGATATAAACTTCACATGTATATATATATCATTGAAGCTTGTTTTAAAAAATTAAATCCTTAATAACACATTGCATGTGACGTAGCAGGTAGCAGGAACTTGAGAAATGTTAGTTACAGTACTTAAGGATTACCAATCAAGGATGAGAAATGTTTTTAAACAAAATGACTTAAAATATTTGTGTAGAAAATTATTGAACTAAATTTGACAAAACCACTTTTTATTTTGAACATTTGAAAGCTATTTTACAGCAATATAGAATATAATATAAATAAAATGATGTTAACCATTACCTCATGCAAAAATTATAGAGATCCTTGATCATGATGGTCTATCCCCATTTGGAGTACTACAGGATGATATTGCATACAAATACAAATAACTTGGAGCAATCATTGATGTTAGATTTGTAATATTAATAGCCTGTACTTATGTCAATACCATTTTTAATTGAATTTTTTTTCTCATCTTATTTCAGACAAATGTGACACATTCACAAGCTTGTCAATATGTCCCTGATTATCAGACAGGTTTGGTTTATATGTGTAAATATGTGGAGCTAGTGGGTCCCCAGATGTTCTACATGCCATACCAAGTGATTGTTCAAGCCATTAATGACAAAGGGGATGGCCCAGCCACACCAGTAGCCACCATTATGTCAGCTGAAGAAAGTTTGTATTTCACCAATTCAGTTTTTTGTGTGTTTGTTATTTGTATTAAAAGCCTCTTTATCTGCTACAAAATAATGGGAATTTTAATAGATCCCAGTGTAATTAAGAGTTTCATATTTCGAATTTAAAATGAGAAAAATTTTATTACATTGTTTAAAAAATGATTTTTTAAAATCAATTTTATTACATGTTTTCCTTCTACTACTCTTGATTAATTACTGTAAAATTGTACTGGAACATTTTGATATGTTTGCAGTGCCACTTGGAGCTCCTGAGAATGTGAAAGCAAAAGTATTTAACGGTACAGCTCTGTTAGTGACATGGACCCCAGTTTCTGAAAAAAGAGAGAGTGCTCGAGGCAAAATTAAAGGTTACAAGGTAAAAAGAATTTTGTTACAACAGTGCCACCTAAACTCCTTGATATGCATTTCCTGCATGCTTCTATCCCTGATTATAGGTGAAACGATGGAACTTTCGCCTTATTGTTTTGCAGAACATTTACCTTAATTACTTGTGTATAATTCTAGAAATTATAGTGTCTGAGTCCATGTAGCCATGGGTCAGTGCCATTTGTGATACCATGGAGAACACTAGAAGCAGGTGCTCAAGCAGATTCTCCCAAATGGAGAAGTGTAACTGAATGCAGGACAATGTGGAGTTACCAGTAGCGCTAGTGTACATGCCTCTAGCTGTACATTGACCCAGATACCAGGTGCACTCCGTATCGGGAAATTCGTTTGAAAGAAATTTTGTCAAAATTGATAGACGGAAGTTTGAAGTTTGATCGAATGGAAATTGGATCGAATTTTGATTTCAGTTGAACCGATCGAATTTTCTTCAAATTTCTTTGTTTCACTATACTCTATAGTAAAACAAAATAATGTGTTCTAAAAGAAATTTGACGCAAAATTAGATTGTGTGAACAGAAAATAAAATTAAATCGAATTTCCGTTCGACCAAACTTCCCTTCAGTCAAATTTCCATTAGATCAAACTTCCGTCCATTAATTTGCCATCGACGAAATTTCTTTCAAACAAATTTCCGGTAACCGGTGCACTCACCCAAAAGAAAAAACAGCCGTTGTTTTTTTTACTGAAATCTTACACTGAGGCACGTGCATCTATTGTCAGGAGGAGAGAGGACACTGATATATATTGCTGGGATGTCACTTGATACCATTGAATGGGAGAGAGTGTAGGCCTTACGACACCAGCCATAGTTTATTACACAGCGCAGCGCTTGCTGCTAGGTATTATCTAACAAAATTATAAAAATCACAGATTTTATGCTCCCAAGTTTTACCCTCGCCTTATCCACAAGTCATAGCATATTTCGTAAGTGTTGTTGAAAAAAACTTTCCTCGACTTATACGAATATATACAGTATTTCTGCTCACATTTTTTCCAGCACTAGTCTGAAATGATGCACAGCATTATTATCAGTTAACTATTTTCTGATCTCTAGATTAACTATTGGAATAGGAGCAATGAAGTTGAAACTCAAGCCAAGCAAAACATAATAGAGCTTAAACCTTGGGAGACCAACTTGAGACAAGGACTTATCATAGGTCTTGAGCCTGTCACATGGTATTACTTTAATGTTCAAGTCTACACCTCTGCTGGAAATGGACCTAAAAGTTCAACTTACGACCAACAAACTTTAAACAGAAGTAAGTTTGTTTTTTATTTTTGTGAACATAAAGCAACTGCTAGTGCATGTAGATTTCTTTAGTGACTAAAAATATTAATTGCATTAAAATGTGGGCTATGTTAACTTACACTTGTTTTTTTAATGTATTATTTAATGAACCATTTATTTTTTTAAGGTAATAAATAAATCATGGACATCTAAATTGAATCACTGTAACCTGCACTTGAAAAACTTTGTCTTAACAGTGGCAAGTCAATACCCAACTGAAGTGTATGTGTACTCTATTGAAGGATTTGGTGTTCGTGTCAATTTCAGAGGTATCAGTACACAGAAAAGGGAGGAACCACTACTAGGCTACAAGGTAAATAATTTTTGGACGTTATATCTAGGCTACAGAGTTTATAATGTGGGATGATATGTCTAGACTACGATGGTGTAATGTTATTCTAGGCTACAAAGTTAAGGATGGTGGGATTTTATGTTAATGTTTCTTCTAAAATAATCTATTAGATAAAAATTGTCCTAGTGTCAATAATTCTTAAATAAACTTAAATTTGTTTGTGTACCTCCCATCAGGCCCAAGTCTGGAAAGCGTTTGAAAATATTCATAATGCAAGGGAAGTCAATTTTGGACTGTCAAGCACTGGTGTAATTCGTAATTTATCCTCAAGTGAACTTTATGAGCTACGAATTTTTGCATACAGCAGAGCTGGACAGGGAAAGAGGAGCTCTCCGTCAGTGTACTTCACAGTTGGGGGTAAGTGGCTTTTGTCATTTTGTTTAGTTTTTTTAATTTTTTTTTTATAAATGTTAACATTAAATCCTCAAAAGTCAATTCAGTGTAGCAAAATAAAGTGTAAAGGGATAACAAATAAGTTTTTCTTCTAAAAACACCATACTTATACAATAAATTAAATATAAGATCAGTTTTGTTATGTAAATAATACATAAAAAAGATAAACTTATCTTGCATTTAATAAATATTTCTATTAAAATAGATATGATTAACACTTTATAAACAGATAGTTCGTAAATTCAATAATTTTGTCATACTTAGTAAATTTAAATACTAGAATCAGTATTACAACAGCTAGCATAATTGCCCAAGACAATCAGGGACTGGAACAATCTTTCAAAAGGAATGGTTGAGGCGACAACACTAGACACATTTGTGTCTATTGCCTCCAGCCTTCAAACCCCTTGTGCATGATTTCCTCATCAAAACCAGTAACAGAAACATTGCAAATCCCATCTACATGCATAGGAGCCAAAATGATCAATAAATTGATCGTGGGCCCTTAAGATATAGAAGAAGAAGAAGAAGCGATAAATTATCTATAATTACATATAAATTGCTATCAAATTCCTAATTTGAGTCCATTTTTGTACAAAATTACTATTGATATTTGTAAAAAGTAAATAATCTAAATTTGACACAAATCAAACAAGCTATTTTGATTTAAAAGTTGTAATTTATCCATTTGAGAGGATATAAACGTTAGAATGCATGTGCCATGTTGAAGGTCATTTTGAACAGACTAAAACCATATGCCGACAGAATCATTGCTGAAGAACAGGTGGGCTTCAGACAAGGATGGGGCACTACTGAGCAGATTCTAAACCTCTGAATACTATGTGAGAAATATGCTCAACACCAACAAAATCTATACCACATCTTTGTTGACTTCAAGAAAGCATTTGACAGGGTTTGGCATGCTGCTTTATGGGCCACCATGAGGCACTACAACATCAACACAAACCTAACCAGCATGATATGCAACCTCTATGATAAGGCCACCAGTGCAGTCTTCCTCAACAACATCGGAGAATGGTTCAAGACCACGGTTGTAGTACCACAAGGCTGCGGAGAATGGTTCAAGACCACGGTTGGAGTACGACAAGGCTGCCTGCTCTCCCCCACCCTATTCAACATCTTCCTAGAGAGAATTACGTCAGATGCTCTGGAAGCGCATGAAGGGACCGTCAGCATTTGTTGCAGAACAATCACCAACCTACGCTTTGCGGACGACATAGACGTGCTGGCTGGGAATGAAGAAGAGCTGGCCAATCTGGTAAAGGGTCTCGATAAGACCTCGTCGTCCTACGGCATGCTAATCAGTGCCAAAAAGACAAAACTGATGACAAATAATACAACAGGCATCACCACTGAAATTAAGGTCGGGGAGGAAAGATTAGAGACTGTCGGTCGCTTCAAATACCTAGGAGCATTAGTCTCAGAAGAAGGCTCCAATCCTGAACTGATGTCCAGGATTGCGCAGACTACAACAGCACTAAAAAAGCTCAAGAAAATATGGAATGACAAAAATATAGCCCCCAGCACCAAAATCAGGCTGATGTGCTCATTAGTCCTCTCCATTTTCCTCTATGCCTGCGAATCCTGGACATTAACAGCCGATCTTGAAAGGAAAATAAAGGCGATGGAGATGAGATGCTTCAGAAGCAGTTTTGGCATCTGCTATAGGGACCATATCTCCAATGATACAGTGAAAGAAAGGGTGCGTCAGGCAATTGGGGAGTACGATGACCCACTGGTGACTGTGAAAAAACGCAAATTACAATGGTACGGCCACGTAACAAGGAAACAAGAGCTTGCCAAAGAAATATTGCAGGGCACCACAAGAGGAGGGAGAAGAAGAGGAAGACAAAGGAAAAGGTGGGAGGATAACATCAATGAGTGGACAGGACTAACACTGGGCTATGCAGTGCATAGTGCTGAAGACAGATGGGAATGTAGGAGGATGGTTCACATGTCATCTGTGGCGCCCCAACGGTCCAAGGACTAAGGGACATGAGGAGGATGAGGAAGTTAAATTATATCATAAATTTCTTTTATTATTGTTATAAATCATAATATTGTATGGGAGATGGGAGTTCATATTTTCAAACACTGAAGAGCTCTCCAATTAACAAGCTTTAGCCATACTTGGGGAAGTCAATGGACCTAGGGTTATTGAGTGTAACCATATTATTTCTTAGAAATTGATGACGCCGGCTAGCAGCATAGCATCATCATAGCATCATGCCTCCCTTTCCTTAGTTAACGACCGCGGATGATTGCAGACACCGCTGTTTGACTGATAATTGGGGCAGAAATAAATTTGAAATCTAATATGGCTAGTGATTGTGGTCGTAAAGTCCAATGGTCGTCAGTTGCATAGGTCGTAAGTCGCGCACTGGCTGTAAATGCAGAAATTTAGAAATTGCTATAATTTAATTTCTAATAAACATTGTATTGATTTCCACAGATGGTCAGATACAGATCAATGCTGAAACAACTGAAATTTTAGGCGGTGTTTCAGGCATGAAACCATCTATTACCATTATTTTGTTATCAGCAATTTTAACATTTTGGAAATTGAAGTCATGAGTCAACAAATTCTCTTTTTACATTATCTTTTCTTTTTTTTTTTACCTTTATGTTTTTGAAACAATAATGCATTCTCAGTTTGTTTGGTTATATAATAAGCAATAAAACAAAGGTCATGGCTGGTTGTAGGCATAAATTGAAAAAGCAATTTCTCATTTTGGAATTTATTAGAGGTGAGGGAATGGCTATGCGGCACAAACAGTTATATCAGATCTCCACAACTTCCTATGGACCTCAAACTTTATAAAAAAATTTTTTCAACTTTCATTAATAAAATATAAATCAATAATCCAACATTTTCATATTCTGCGTAAACATTTTTCCTCTTAGAAATAATTTTGATATAAAGGGACAGAAACAGGTCAGATATAAATACATAACATTTTATCATCCGTCATTATTTTATTGTGATGTGTTAGCATATAATAATCAATGTCATTTAAAACATGATTTCTTCCTGAAAGGAATCTTTTATAGAAAGAAAACTAAATATTGTCCAATAGAATAATCTGTTAATGAAGCTACTTTGATCACTTTTTACCCGACAGTGACATTCGTTAAAACTTGTACATTTTACTTTTATTCAAATCTGTAACAAAAATGTATATAGCTGTAAAATGCCAGCATTTTTTTTTTGTAGTTCAAATTTTGTTATGATGCTTCATTGTGTTTATTTCTTGAATCAGTATCTTATTCTAAGTCTTTGTGGTTGTAAAGTGTGTGAAAGTGTGAATTTTTGTAAATGTCACAAAATGGACTGCAGTTTTAAAAAAAATTAAACTAAAATATCGCTAAACATTGACACACAAAACTGAGCTCGTTAATGGAAAATATTTTAGGTTTTACTTTAGGCCTTAGGCTAATAATAGATGTGAAATTAGACAATAATCCTTATTTATATTTTGTTTCAACATGTTTTAATAGCAATTCAGTTTGTCCATGATTATTATTTCTTCTTATTAAAACAAGTTAAACTATTTTTGTAATTATAAAAGAAAGGACTTGTTATAGAATGCATTTCATTTTGTTATTGCTCCCAACAATGACTTTTCGCATTCCATCAACCCTTTTTTTATACCTTAAATATTTTTGCTGCAACAAATATAATTTTTTTGTAACTTGAAACAAAACAGTAAATGTTTTGTCATTACAGTTTCAATTACCATATAAAATTTCAATAATACATTATAAAATAATCCAATTTTGTTTTAAAATATTTTAAATGTGTAATAATTGATAATGGAATAATTTGTAGTGTATATAATAATTATAATAAGATCTTCTCTGAATTTAATCAGTGTAGCACAGTTTTATTGTTAATCTCTACCCCTTCACTCAAATATACAAATGTTCAAGTACTTTGGTAATCTTTTCAGTCGGCTAATTTTTAAAATAAATCTTTGAATCTTTTCTTTTCAGATTTATGTGATGATTATGGATTTTAAAAAAGAAAATAATTTTTAAACTCAATTTCACAAATTTCATATCAACTGCTTTTTGTATGAAAATCACCTAATTTTTATAATCAACATTAATAAACAAACCCATCAATTTGTTGAGTAAGCTAAAAATGAGAATACAGTAAAAAGATGTTGTTACTTGGTTACAAAAAAATTTTAAAATCTACAATATAATCAAGAAAGAAAAACAACATTCTTGTAATGAATCTGAGCTATTGACCAGATTCTTCAGTTAAGATTTTGTTTCATCATACAAGTTTTCATTCATCTTGCAAATGCTTTTGAAAAATGGAAATAACAAATATTTTTTATTAAAAAATGCTCATTGAGATGCATTTCTTAAGATTCATGTCATTACATGTACATATTTATATCATTACTTACTGTTAAAATACTTTTATTAAGAGGGATCTGTTTAATTTTTTATTTTTTTTACTCATTTTGATCTCCACTTCTTTTACAATATTGCAATAATCTTTATATAAGTAAAAGTTTATTTCAGGAAATGTTTATCACCCAGAATAGTACTAGTTAAAAATTAGCTGCTTGATTTAGAGTTTTTAGGGGTACCAAATAACTATAAAAAAACACAGTACATGACAGAGGTTTGCACAAAACAGCAAGAGATAAGTTAAAATTAAAATTTGCAGTGCACTTGTTAAAATGAACATGAGGCACTTTTAGAAAGCGTAGATGCAGCAAAGATGCTGTTTCGGAACCTCTGGTCTTGGAGGTACTGTAATATCAGTTTGCAAAAAATATTTGATTATTTTTTCAAGTAAAATAAAAAATGACAAATTTAAATTCTTTTTAATAAACGACTTCATCAGAAAAATAGAAGTTAGGGAGAAAAGTAGAAGCAGAAATTCTGGGTATTCAACTTTAAAATACAATTTGAAGAGCATTTATGATTAAACTTTTATTTTTAATAGTTATAGGGTATGAATTGTACTGAATTGTTTTTGTGCCACTTTTATACACATTCCCATTTTTAAAAATAATTAAAAAATACCTCAATATTCATGGCTTGTGATTTTTGTTGTTGTTTTCATAACTTCCTGATTTTCTTTCAACATCTTTTATCCTTAAAAATTATGCATCTTGCTGAATCAATTTTAAATTAGTAAGGAGTGGATGGTGCTGCCATAGTTAATAGTGGCATAGGCTCCAAAAAAAGGGTGAGGGGCAGCTGTTTACCATTTATGCAAAACCTGCCTTTTTGTGGTGTGGAATTCAGTTTGCATTGATTATGTGAAACCAAATGGTAATATTTTGTAATACCCGCACCCTCCCCTTAAAAAATCTTTATTATAAAATACAGTAGCAACCTATGATGGTAAATCTACCTGCCTTTTGTTTTATAGCATACTTACATGGACCAATGAAGATTAAATAGCACTCACCAATCCCAACACCTGATCTAAAGTTAAAAAAAGACTTTATATTAGGCTTTCCTCTCATGACCGCTCTGTAGCTGTCTTTAAGTTAGTGTAAGTCAAATAATACAATCTCTTATTGCCAAATTTGAATAGTGTAACAGTTCAATAACTTATTGAATCATAGTTGAATAATTAGTTCCAATGCCGGATTTAATCCAGCACTGGAAATAATTATTTAACTATTACTCTAATGAGCAACATGGCTTCCAGTTTAAGGTAGTCTATGACAAGGGATCCAAAGGGAAAGATGTGGTATGGATAATTGGACTAAATGCTGCCCCTAGATGAACTCCCAAAAGTGCGCCCTCCAACATGTATCGTTTTTATGTAAACCCAAGGTGACCCCACTCTGAAACCAATTATTTTCAACACTAAAATACCATGAAACCTATTTTGTCATCCTACCTAACTAGTATGGTTACTGGGTCATCTGCCCAACCCCCTTTCACTACACCACTGCGCTTACTCCTAGGTTGGTAAATGGCCCGGAGGAAAATATTGTGGGGACTGCATTCAAGTCCTTTCAAGTCAATACTATGAACAAGGCACATGGATGCTTCAATGATTCATTAAGAGAAACAAACAAAAACAGGGGCTGGGCACAATTTATATACCACAAAAATTTTTTACTCACGTCTACCCCATATAACAATATATTACAATATATAAATATATCATTTCCTTTAACAGTGTAGTACCACACCCTAACACAGTGTGTCTCAACCTTTCTATCTAATGCCGCAACCCTTTAATATATTTCCTCATGTTGTAGCGACCCCAAACCACAAATTTATTTTCTTTAATACTTTACAACTGTGGAGTTTATTTGTTTTCAGTTGGTCTTAGGCGACCCCTGCGAAAGGGTCGTGACCCACAGGTTGAGAACCACTGCCCTAAGATAAACCCCAATAAAACCTATAAAAATTCCAAAATCAAGCAGAAAAACAGAAATGTTCCAGCAAAAGACCATGTATAATTTTTACATAATTTTGCTAGTTATTCTTTTAATGTGTTAGTTATAGTTAGTAATAATTGAGGCTAATGTCGTAAATTTGAAAAGCAGAAATTCTGCTAAGGGGGCGTCCATTAATTACGTCAACAATTTTTACGAAATATTTAACCCCCCAACCTTGTCATTTAACTGTCAAACTTTCAAAACCCCCCCCTCCCCACTAATAAATATTTAAATCCATTTTACTTTGAGCTGATATATTTAAATGACTAATAAAATTGTGGGAAAACATTTATTTTAGCTTGTTAATCAACAAGTTATAAGTTTTTACTCTATATTTTATAATTCAGAATCAATTAAAAGTTGTTAAAGACGTATAAATATGACTATTGTAAGTATTGCTGACAATTGTAGTATAGTTTCTAGTTGCTATCATCTTCCCATGGAGTCGCCAAGAGTAGCTGATTTATCATTTTCATCTTGCGAAACTGATATACCAGACAAGTCAGCATTATCCTCATCTAACCATTCAGCAATTACAGTAGAAACACAGTGTCAGGGTGAGCAACAATTGCCATAAGCTCTCTCCGTCTCCTGGCTGCTACTCAGCCTACTCGCATCCATTGGCCGAATCCTTTTACTTTTATGTTGAGGAGCAGGTGGTAGTTTCTCATGCTCAAGAGTGCATTGTCGGTGCTGTTAAACATGCTTTTCCATCATGACTTGTGATGCAAAATAGATGTTACAGATTTTGCAAATCTGTTCAAGCAGTGATGTTATTAATTTAAATCAAAATATCGTATTCCTACTCTATCAATATCATTTATTTTAACTGCACATGACGCTTGAACCTTGTCCTTGTTACATACATGCAACATACCGCCCTAGTCATTTGCGACAAACAGAACCCACAGGTGAAGAGAGGCCAACTTTTGACTTCTCTTGCACTAACAAAGTGTGCTAACATTCTGACCAGCCATCTGCAGTGCCCAGACATTAAATAAATCTTATATTGTTAAAATTAAAAGCCTAAAACTAAAACTATATGACTATTTTCACTTTTTATAAATAAGTGTTTAAAATCTGGTTCTGGTAATGTTTCGTTGCTGCATCCATGTACTGGCATCTTTGTAACGGTTGGGGGTATGATGTTGCTATTCTAACAGCTCCTAGCAGATCCCAGTGCAGCCTTGAAATTTTCGACAGTTGAGTTCACAGCGGCATCGTTCATGTTGTTCCATGCTATTATTGTGCGTGGGAAGAAAGATTGTTGATACTGCACTGTGTTGCACTGAGGCCCTTTGAAGCATTTGCTATTGTTTCTGGTGTAATTGTTTATGGGAATGTCAGTGGTGAAGTCAGTAAAATCAATGTAATAACCAGTCAATGTTTAAGATAAACATTTTAATAGAGAAAAAAAAATGATTGTTGACGTCAATTAATCTAACCCCCCCCCCACCCTTTTTTCCCCCTTGTCAACAATTGTCTAACATTTCCAAACACCCTCCCTATTTTGTTGACACAATTAATGGACGACCCCTAAAATACGATTTAAAAAAAATAAATAATAATTGTTATTAAACACTGCTATAGACCACCCCACCCCACCCATGTAACGCAATATAAAAAAATAATAAACCACCCCTTTCGTGTCGTGAAATATTCTTGAACCCTTATATATATCTTTATACCGGTAACACTAGTCACGTTTGAGCTGTGATAGCTGTCCCCGGCATATCCGGTTCGCATTTTTCTGAACTTTGAACAAAACGTTACAAAGGTCGAGAAAAGCACTCTGCTGTATGCATTCTGCACTACCAAATAAATCTAAGTTGCAGTTACAACGAGTTTGCCGTAGTTTTCTTAAACAACATGTCAACTATAGGAGCTTTAAAGGTTAACTTTCATGCCATTATTACCGCCATTATTTGTTTTTGTTATGTTATACTTAAATAGGCTATTATTTTATTTTTTGCCAGTGTAGATAGCCAGATAGCCTACTTTGACCTTTGATAACAAAATTAAAACATAAAAAAAAAATAAACCAAACATAGTTGAATAGAGCTAATTTTTAACGAAGTGGTTATGGGCAGCCGACTGCGTATAACCCTGAGAGTTATACGCAGTCGGCAAGTCACGTGACGTCTATATTCTTCCTGTGTTACATTATCAATCAATTGTCAATAAGGGTACTACTTTATTATTGGGGTGACTGGGTGGTCCAATGGTAAAAACTGACCAAACCCCAAGTAGGTAGGTTAACTGAAGTTCAATTCCAGCCAACGGAAAGCCTACGTGTTAGTTGCTACGTTTGTTCTCGAAATGAACCAAAAAACAACTCCGCTTATTATTTTACTTTTGTTTTGGCTACTAAAATATGTTTAAACATTATACGAATAAATTGATCGTGGGCCCTTAAGATATAGAAGAAGAAGAACTTGACCAATGTAATGTTAATAATGTTATACTTATAATTATCATAATATATGTTTGTGTTGTTAACATATATTTTGTGTTGTTAACATATATTTTGTGTTGTTAACTAATTTTGTGGCAGATAAGATCATGTTTCTCTGGTACAGTAATAAATATAATCATGGATGGAGCAGCAGTAAGAAAATCGCCGTAGGGGCAGGGGGTTCTGTAGAGGGGGCACTGTAAGTAATACATTCACACAGTTATAGTTTTGCATGGAAGCTGAAAACTGTTACATTTTGGTCCTAAAAAAAATAATCATAAATGATATAATTTTAAAAAAAATAAATAGAATGTATTTCCTGAATTAGTCAGTAAAACCAACCAAATAGTCATAGCAACCTATAAAAACCTAATCAATCAGAATACATAACTAGACTTAGACCATGGATCTGCCTTTTAAAAAATCTTAGACTAAGGCTTAGACTCTAAGAAATGTAGACTTTGACTTATAATTATAATATATAAGATACAAGCAATAATACTAATACTATTGCTATCATTCAATTTCATTATTAATTAAAATTAATTCAATTACAATTTTACGTTAAACACATAAAAAGTTACAGTTCAAAACAACCCATCATGCGGCTAATTACACATAATACTTTTTTTTTTAATTGCCAAAATACCGGTAATAAACCTGATTTGGCTAAATTCCCAGCCGACTGCGTATAACCCTGAGAGTTATACACAGTCGGCTGGGAATAACCCACAGGGTTATGCGCAGTCGACTGCGTATAACTCTCAGGGTTATACGCAGCCGACTGCGTATAACGCTTCCCACTTTTCCCAATTTTTAAAAGAATTATAATACCAAAATCATATTTTTAGCTGTTGTAGTTTTAAAGTTATGAATTTTTAAAGTACGACTTAATTTGTCCTTTTTTAACACGGACCCCATCTCCACATTCTGTGACCCAATTCCGCTGTGACCCAATTCCGCGTCACGAGCTATATAACTCTTGTTTTAATGATAATTTTATTTTCAGAACTAATGCTGTATTAAAAAAATTAATTTAATAATGTTAACAATTATAGATAAATTGTAGCTTATCTAACTTTGCATTATTTCTATCAGTAAATTTAATATAATGTATTAATATACGGCTTTTCTGTTTACCAAATCTATGACGTCCACTATACCAATATTTGCTATAGTCTATATAAGGCAACTCATGCCCTAATTACGAAAATACTGTTCGGGAACTATTGAACTTTTCAACTTTGGAGTTTTTGCACATGGCAAACTTTTATGAATGAAATCTCTGAGATAGTAGTAAATAATAGCCATTATGCAAGTCACTGTGAATGGCCGCCATGACATTTTGCACACGGCGAATTTTGATCATGTATAATATGGGCTCTACCGGGTTTTTTAACCTCAAATTAAAATATTATTCTTTCAGTAACATTTAAATTCATTCTTAAACATAACTTATCAAATATTTTGATGTAAATAGTGGAAATAATTAAATATTTCCTAAGTAACGGCGTCTTCCGCCACTGAAAGGGGGGCGTGGCCAGGTCCTTATCGAAATTGGGCTGAGCTACATTACCATATAGGGGTTCACTCAAGTGAGCATAACAAGTGATCGATATGTCCTAACTCAATGAGAACTGACACAAATACACATCGATAGATAATACAGAATAAGACTTTTTTTAAAGACATAATAGTTGAACTTCTATACGAATTTTATAGTGAAAGATGCCTTATATTTAAAGGGGAATCTCAAAATACAGGTCGATTGAAAAATTAAAAAAAATCAATGTAAATGTAGGCCAAAATGTCTACCTAATTATATGGAAAGAAACGGAACTCAAATATATGTCGAAAGCACCCATTTAATAATAAATAGACACACACATCTGAAAATTAAAAACTTGGATTTTTCTGTGCCGATTGCCATTTCCGATACACAAAAAGTTGTAGCCTCCCTTGGTTTACCGAAGTATCTAGCCAGTCTCTCCATTTACCGTGTCAACGTCAGACCGTCTGCTTTATTGGCTTTAATAAATTGCATGTAACGGTAACTTAGTTTTAGTATGACTTAAACTATTCACGTCACCATGAATAGGCGTCAGAATTATCAATACAATGATCGTAGGCCCTCAAAATATTGAATAGAAAAAGTCTTGCTCAGATATTCATATTCATAGGATAATGTAGGGACCTCGGTATCGCCCGGAAATACCAGAAAAACGGGTATCATAATTTCGTTGCAAAATGGCGACCTCCACTTTTTAATTTACTGAGGGTATCGTTGTTTCGCCTTTTACAATAGATTTTTAGCATAATAACAAAGTCTACTTCCGCCAATTACTTAAAGCCGACATCTTGCTTGTTGTATGAAGAGTTTGTTTGATTTTGTTTTTCAAGGTTAAAGCTTTGAAAATTGAAGTTAAAAATAGGTAAACCTCACTCATCAATAACTTTTTTTTTAAAAATGTGATTCTTAATAAAAATATTCCCGCTCTTTTAGTTTATAGTTTCATTTACAACATACCAGTATCCAAAATTTATGAGTGAAGACCATGGGTGGGCTTCAAAAACGAAGTTCCCAGATGTCATTTTTTTAGGTCATGTAATTTGTCATCGTGGCCACTGTACTTGTCTACTTATGGCCAATTATCAATAGCAGCCGTGGGGTAATTAATAATTCATTAAATTGTTTACCCAGAATATAAATGGGAAATATAACTAATAATAAATCATTTTGTATAAATAAAAAATGTTTTATAACATAAATAATTATTATTGGCTAATGAAATATCAGTGATTTTAATTTTTGGGTTGGTTGCCATGGACATGGCTAACACTCACACTGACATGGGATTGATAAGCTCTTGTCATTGACTTAAATAGGCTTAGTAAAAGTATTATAAAAGTAATTATACTATTATAAATGATTTAAGGAGTTGGATAAATAGCTTTTATTACAACTAATATATTTATATTAGTTTATATATATATAGATAAATATTTATTTGTATATATATACATACAATGTCCATAGTACCATAGGCTATAGGCCTAGTATATAGGCCTAGTATGGCCTAGTATAGATATAATAGTATACCAGTGATTCAAAGTATACTATATTAGGGTTTAAGCCTAGACCCAACCCAACTTATTATAATAAATTATATGTAATGATATTTTGGGATATGTAATAATATTTTAATGAATATTGTGATTCTTAAGGCATGAAAAATGGCATAAACTAAGTAAAAATTTTAAAAATATTCACTTACCTTTGGTACAATATTTCACAAGAGAATTATTATATAATCCTCAGTTTCTCAAAGAAAAAAACACATTTTCTGGCACAATAATCCAAGAATTACTAAAGAACAATCATAAAAACTTGTACTTACCTCAAGCAAATAACTAGAACTTATTTTATATTCTATTAACAGCTAAAGTCAAAGTTGATTCTAACAATACATATTGATTTGTAAAACAAGATTGCAAACTTAAAATATATGACATAGTGATTGTTTTGTCATATTCATATGGGAATAATATATAATATACATATGTAGAAAACTAAAATAAAAATTGTAATCGTCAATGTTAAATAAATGAAACAAAGAATGCCTTTATTATTTGTTTATGCTTATAAATGTTAAACAATTCCACAGAAAATTTGAAATTAATATCTAAAGAATATTATTATTATTATGATTTTTGGGAAATTAAAAAAAAAATATTTAAACAAAGTTAATTTACAAATAAGTGATGAGTCAACATATTTATTAAATTTTTTTTTTTTTTTTTAAAATAGGTAAATAATAAAGTTTTTAAAAAAAAATATTTGCGGCTTATTAGCAAAAAAATAACTAATATTTTGAAAATTAAAAAAAAAATATTTAAACAAAATTAATTTACAAATAAGTGATGAGTCAAAATATTTATTAAATTTTTTTTTTTTTTTTTTAAAATAGGTAAATAATAAAGTTTTTAAAAAAAAATATTTGCGGCTTATTAGCAAAAAACTAACTCATATTTTGAGGCTTTATTTAGAAGTACTCTTGTTCCCTGTAAATATTATATTTTGTCTCATTTTATAATAAAGTTATAGGTGTTAAAAAAAAAAGCAAAATGAGGGTCACAAAATGTGGAGGAAAATCCCATAGAAAAAAAGTGGTTTTGAGGTCTCTACTAAAAAAATTCATAACTTTTGAACCACTTGAGCTACAGCTGTAGTATTTTTATATTTTTAAAAATGTTTTGAAAGTTTCATCAAAGTGCCTAAGATAATGAATGAATAATTATAATGTCTTAGTAAGCAATCTTGCAGTTCAGGTGCGTAGATTATTTCTGATCAAATTTCATATTATCGCATGTAAACTTACGTGTATTCTTCATTAAATTAAATCCAGGCAGTGATAGTTAACTAATACTGAGTTATTCAGCGCTTATTTTCATTTTATTTGATTTCTTAAGCATCTTTGAACATCCCCTAACCTTCCATAGCTCCATTTGTTTTGTATTTTTCACCCTGTTGCCAAATTTTTGATCACCTATAAGTTGTTATGCTGAACGAAATTTTCAAATTGTAGACATGTTCACAAAAAGAATGAAATTTGGGGGGGTCGGGGTTTGAACTTAATTAGATGTTCCGTTATTTTATAGGGGCCCAAAATTCTTTTTTTTTTCTTATGTGGGGTGTATAAATATATTCCAAACAAAGGCTCCTGCATGGGCATGGGTGAATGGAACGAGATCAAACTCAATACTGAAGGGTAATGAACTCAATATTTTAGTTTTTCCTAAAACTAGCCAATTATAGGGGGGGGGGGGGGGGGGGGGGGGGCGGCCGACTAAACTTTAATTAAATGTGATTGTTAGTCTACTGACCAGTGAATCAGATGCCACGGATATTTTATTATAATTGCCTATTTATTCATTTTGATACCGTAACTATTAACACTACTATATACAGTCACAATTAGGTGTCACCAAATTTTAAAGGGAAACAAGATGGGGATTGTTCTCTGCAAAATAAATGTTATGGTTTCACTTCATTAAGTTAATGTAAAGCCTACTATTTTTTTTTCAGAATGTTGTTGGTTTAGTGACTGGTGGTGCCTCAGGACTTGGGCGTGCAACAGTTGAGAGGTTTGTTAGGGAAGGAGCTAAAGTAGTTTTGTGTGATTTGCCTAATTCAAAAGGAAAGGAGTTAGCCACTGCCCTTGGAGAAAATTGCATTTTTGCACCCACTGATGTGAGTGTCTTACTATGTGCATTACTATCATTACTTTGTGCAGATTGTAGCCATTATGCTATGACTTACTTAAGGGATGTTTGATATTTTTCAATTATAGTAGTGGCGTTTTCGTCTTAAGGTCCACATGGTAGAGCTACAACTGGGTGAATTTAAAAAAAACAATTGATTTAGTGTAAGTTAGTATAAAAATACATATCCTGTTTCACCATTACATTCTGTAATTCATTATAATTATTTGGTAGAGAAATAATTATACCTTATTTTATTTTTTTTTCTTTAATTTTGTTTGTTTGAAAACTAGTCATTTTATTTTTATAAATACCATTCAGTGGTTTGTAACTGACCAGAAATTCTTTTATTTTAAAATAATCTTTATGGTTATTATTTTAATTTTTATTGCATTTTGAAGGTGTCATCAGAACAGGATGTATCTAAGGCTCTAGAAATAGCAAAAGACAAATTCGGTAGACTTGATGCTGCTATAAATTGTGCTGGTATTGGTGTTGCTTTCAAGACATATAACTTTAACAAGAAAAAGCCTCATGAATTAGAAGACTTTGTAAAAGTTCTTAAGGTATTTAATGTATGATACATAATAACCTACAAATAATTATGATTTAAACAAATTATTTACCCTTTATGCTGGAACGCCAATAATTATGATGAGTTATGCCATATAACCCATCATCATATTCTGTACCAAAGGGGAAATGGATGTCATGTAACTTTATTTCCAGCATTATGCAAGTTTTCTTTTCCCACTTTAGGAGTCAGTATGCAATGCAGGTTTATTCCTTTCTTTAACTAGGTCAATACAGTTGGAACATTTAATGTCATACGACTATCAGTTGGGTTAATCGGAGACAATCATCCGAATGCAGATGGACAACGTGGTGTGATTGTAAACACAGCAAGTGTTGCAGCTTACGATGGTCAAATGGGGCAAGCTGCCTACTCAGCTAGTAAAGGAGCCATTGTTGGGATGACCTTACCAATTGCTAGAGATTTAGCGTCTCAGGGTATCCGCGTAGTCACTATTGCCCCAGGTTGGATATATTTTTATTGTCCCTAAAATGCATTACAACTTCAACTTAAATGCTTTGTTACCTACGCAAGATTTTCATTCAGATGCAATGGATTTTAAGTTAAAAACAGCTTTTTTGGGTAAAACATATCTTGAGTTATATTAATTACTTTTTATAATTCTTGAATGAGTACATAATTACATCTTATAATTCTTAATTCATTTTGACCAACAGGATTGTTTGACACACCATTACTTGCAAGTCTTCCTGAAAAAATTAGAAAGTTCCTTGCCAGCACTATTCCATTTCCAGCTCGACTTGGTCTCCCTGATGAATATGCTCATTTAGTCCAGTGTATAATTGAAAACCCATTGCTAAATGGTGAGGTCATTAGATTAGACGGAGCCCTTAGGATGATGCCATAAATGACATTCGTTTTTTAAATATTAAGCAGAAAGGGTAACCATTTGTAAGACTGACATGACAAATAAAGTCTAAATTTTTTTTAAAATTACATTTTGTTATGTACTTGTATGTACTGTTTTGAAGAGTTGTTTCCTGTGTAATTACCATTTCTATGTCCAACAATATGTCCTCAATGTAAAAAAATTCAGGATAATAAACACAAGACATTATTTATTCACATTTTATTAAACATTAAGTGAAATAATCATGCAGTAAATGGTATAATATATTTATATATACTTTACATTTACAGAAACAAAACTAAGTACTTTCCAATCTTTTAAGCTTGAGATTCAATTTTTATACAAATCTACACATCTATCCAAAACATTTTTGGGCTGAAAAACAAATATATGGTTAAATTCATGTGTAATTTCGGTCAGAGATTCAAAATTTAACAAATTAAAGTTGCTTTTTTAAAAAATGCTTATGATTCTTGGGTGTAAAAATACAGATAACACACAATTATTTGAAATTTTAATTGGGGTAAAGGACAAATTTATAAGAGAAAAAAAATGTATTATTGAAACACTAGTTTTTTTCATTATGAAAATAGTACTGGTACAATCATTTAAGCATCAAGTTATCTTGAGTAAAAATCAATTGATTTTTAACACAAGGACAAAAACCTTTCAGGTGGTAAAAAATTCAGATTGTGCGAGTCTATTTTGGGGACAACTGTATCTATTTGTAATCGCATTGCCTAGCACAAAAAGCTTCATTTTTCCATATCAACAAAATGACATAGTTAAAGAGAGTGAGGTAGAAGAAAGCATGCATCTTCTGAAACCAAGCTGGTGATAAAATGCATGAATTAGCTCTATTTTGGAGAGCCACTTACAAGCCTTTTTTTTTTAACTTAGAGGAAAGAAGGTACATCACATATCCAGAAATTGAAGCAGTATTTAAAGACACATCCACACAGATGATATGCATAATAGTATATTATCTCTCTTGCTTCATAGCTACTTTAAATAACCTTAAACCTAACCAACAATTAACAGCCTTGTATGACTGATCAACCAATATAAAATGCCCTACATCAATTTAAAAAAAAAAGTTTTACCTTAAATTTTGTGAAATTAAATATTTTTTTTAATGTTACATGGGCAAAAAGATCAAATGTTAAAATAAAGTTTTCTTCAGCTATTTTTTAATAACATTTATCAAAAAAATATTTATAGATTTTTATAAATAACGCTATTTCCATGAATAAGATAAAATTAGATATAGCTATTAGAAGCTGCCAGAAATGACATGCGAAAGATCAAATAACATGTAATACCCCAAAAAAGAGATAGGATGACAAAATATTTTTTCAAATGCTTTGTGTTATTTCATGGTGAACACAAAAATTCAAACTCAGCTGATTTTGTGGAATTAAAAATATTTAAAAATTGTTTATCTAAATAATTGTACCACTAAGATGAATTACAATCTGCAAAATGTAGATAAAATACCTGATTTTATAGTGTACCGGTAGTTCCAAATTTTCAGAGGCAAAAGTAATTTATATTTAGATTGGCACATTTCGTTACTTAATAACTATCTACGTTATGACATTTACCAATAATTTGATGCAGATGAAAATATTTATATATTGAATTATTAAATTTGTACTGTATTAAAGTGGAGAAAATTTTAAAAGGCATATATAATAATACTGATATTGCCTAGGGTGTATAATATTCAGGTTCAAGTTGACAGGGGTAAATTAAAAAAAAAAACTTGAATCAATCACAACCCGAAGTAAGTGGGTAATTTTTTTTTCCAGACCAGGATTAGTTCCCAAACATTATTTTGGCATGGTTCTGATGTTTATATACAATATGCAGCATAAACCATAACTTGGCAAAAATTCTGACATTTTCTCTGCAGGGATCAAGTTATTGTTTGGCTTTTTTCTAAGTTCTAAGCAGAGTAAAAACTTTTTTCTCCCCATAGAAAGACTTAAAAATATTTACACAAACTGAATCAACCACTTAAACTCACCCTGGTCAGCTAAGATAAAATACACTGGGACTAGAGGTAATAATATTAATAAGGCTTGAGTGCAAAATGCTAAAAAAATAACATATTGATATAGAAAAAAAAAGAACCTTTAAACATACAGCTGATACAAGTGTACTTTTTAAAATAGTGACTAGCTATATAACAATGGATTATCTACTTATAACTATAAGTTAAACAATACATGCATTAAAATTGGATATGGTTACAGTACCAATTTATAAATATGTCTCTAAACATACTTTCTAATGATCTAATTTGGTTTTGAAAAAGTTAAATATATTTTTTATCAGACTTTTTGTTTTCAATTAAAAAAAAAAATTTAAAAAAATGGATATTAACATAGATATGAATTTCTCTGACCTACATTAGGGCATCAACGTGGAGGAGAATTTGAGTTCTTACATTTATTTTGTAGATTTTACATGCACCCAATTTCTATTGTGCAGAGTACTTCTCTGATAGATGCTTCTGCAGAATCTTATCCTCCTGAGCTTATCATTTCTGGGAACCACATTGAATACACATCTTAGATGCAGAGAATTTACACTTGTGTAAGGATAATAAGTGCAGTAAAATATTTACTTTCGGCATAACTAGTTTTATTATCACCTTAAAAATAACTAATTAAAAAATGTAACTTATCAACAGCTAAAAGTTTATATACAGTAATCCCTCGTCTATCCCAGGTGGGTTAGGTTCCAGAACCCTGCCGATTGGCGAAACTCCGTGAAGTAGCGACCTTATTTTTAATTTTTTAAGTTATTTATATATATTTTTTTAAGGCTTTATAAACCCTCCCCACACTCTTATAAACCTTTCCCACACTGTTAATAACCTTTCCCCATGCTCTTTAACACTTTCTACACTCTTAAGCCTACATAATTTTAACACATAAAATTCTTTAAGTATCTATATTAGATATACACAAGTAAAAAATCAGCGATACATTGAGACCATGAAAAGTGAATGGCGATGAACGCTGTGCATATACTATTCTATAAATAGGCTAAAGAGAATTTTATTTTGGAAGATCATTTTTTTTTAAAGTTGTAGTAAATTGCTTCTAAAGAAAAAGTAGAGAAAAGCCATTTTCATAAACATTAGAAGAAAATAATGTGTTTTCACAGAACAACTTGACAAAAGCTTTTGTTAATTAAGGTGTGTTGTGGGTAGGAGGGGTAAGAGAGAGAGAGATGAGGAGGAGGTGAAGGGCTGGTGGTGGTGCATGGGAAAAACCATTATGCTAGCACAGAGCAGTACTAGAGAAAAATCTAGAAGTAAGAATAGCACAGAGCAGTACTAGAGAAAAATCTAGAGTAAGAAATGTAGGTGGACTGTTATAGAAATTTTAACAAAATTGGTTGTTTTTTTTTGTTGTTGTATAAATTCTCCTTGCTTGTTTGAATGCGAGTTAATTATTCTGTATACATTCTTACATAAATTCTTTGCGCTTCATAGTTTTTTTTGTTTAACTTGGACTAAAAAAATACAGCATATATGTATAATTTATATCAAAATTTTGTGACACTCCCCTAGAACAACTGAAGTGAAGTTCTTAACTAAATTTGTGCAAATTACATGCTTGTAAAAATCAATTTTTATTTAGAAGCAAGGCTAATTTTAAATTTTAAAAAAATAAAAAAATGTTTTATAGAGAGAAAAAAAAGCTTAACAGCCTTCATTCAGAAAAAAGCTTAAGGATCACATTTGTGCCATAAATTATAATAATAAATAATTATACAGTGATCCCTCATCTATTGGGGGTTCACTTTTCACAGTCTCAATGTATTGTGGATATTTTAATTCTATATATATAGTTTTGTATCTCTGATTTTTTCGTTATATCGTGGGATTTTGCAGCATATAGGTATTTTTATGTGTATTTATTATTTTTGCGGTAAAATAAGCATTTTGTAGCCTAAAAAAGTGAAAATTAAAAAAAAAAAAATTATTTAAAACATATTAAAATAATATTAAAATGAGATAGACTATGTAGCATACAGCATATGAGTAGATTAGCCTCGCACTTATGGAAAACACAACTACAGCATACTATTTGCTTATGGATGGGAGGCGACCAAACAGAGCACTGTGTTCTGTATCCTGGGCAGCTGATTGGCTCAGTGTCCATAGCATCAGTCTCCTTCATCTCTCAGGTATAGGATGCTTTTAGCATCTCGCATTGTCCATATCACTTTTGATCGCTGTGCTTAGTGATGCTCCAAGGTGTTATGTTTTTGTCGTTAAAAAATTGAATTTATATCAAGCCCTTCAACGTCGAACAAATGTTCTAAGGCTTCTAGCATCTAACCCAAGCCCAAGATGGTTTATAAAGCCTTAAAATAAATATAAATAACAAAAGAAATATATGGTCACTACCGAGCGAATTTTGCCTATCGAAGGGGGTTCTGGAACCTAACCCAACAAGATAAACAAGGGATCACTGTATTTGCCACCTCTAATTATTTAAGACAATACTATTTCAAAGAAAAATTTAAAGCACCTATGGTTTCATAATAAAAAAAAATATTACAAGACATGTTTGACTAATCATGGTTTAAAAAGCATTTTTATCTCTTGGACTATTTTTGAAAAAGGACAGTGAGAGAGAGCTACATGGATCACAACTAAATATGAAATAATTAGTCACAAATTTATGCTGGGCAACTAAAATAAAATCATGAGTGTTCACAACATTTTATGTTTAAAAAAAAAAAAAAAACTATTCACACATCACAGACAGTTATTATATTTGTTAAAAAAGAGGGCGAGATTACAAATGTAAATACCAGGAAATAGAAGATTGTGTCTCAGGCCCATCCATGACCAAGTGTGACATTTACTCCATAATGACTATCAAACACCTCTAAAATTACTTTTTGGCATATTCTGACTAGTTTTTTCAATTAGTTTTACAAAATAAATCTGTAAGAAAATTCTTAGGTTACATTTATGTTTGAGGTTTAACTAGTTCCATTTATGTAGATTTAGGGCCAAAATCAACATTGTTTCTTTCTGCAGCCTGAATCTGCTCCA